TATGTTGGAGATGTCGAAAATGGCTATTTAACCTTGACTTAACTGAATAAATGCATCTTAGATGCCTCTTTTCTAAGTCACTGGTACTAATTGAATAACATAGACCATCTTATATCGCTGTTTCTAAGCCGAACTTTAGTCACAGATAATAACATTCAATGTAATATTCTACCCCGATCAGTCTTACAAATGAGTTAAGAAATGTTGAAGAATGGCGAAGAATGGCTACTTAACCTTGACTTAACTGAATAGATGCATCTTGGATGCCTCTTGGATGCCTCTTTTCTAAGTCACTGGTACTAATTGAAATAACATAGACCATCTTATATCGCTGTTTCTAAGCCGAACTTTAGTCACAGATGATAACATTCAATGTAATATTCTACCCCGATCAGTCTTACAAATGAGTTAAGAAATGTTGAAAAATGGTGAAAAATGGCTACTTAACCTTGACTTAACTGAATAGATGCATCTTGGATGCCTCTTTTCTAAGTCACTGGTACTAATTGAAATAACATAGACCATCTTATATCGCTGTTTCTAAGCCGAACTTTAGTCACAGATGATAACATTCAATGTAATATTCTACCCCGATCAGTCTTACAAATGAGTTAAGAAATGTTGAAGAATGGCGAAGAATGGCTACTTAACCTTGACTTAACTGAATAGATGCATCTTAGATGCCTCTTTTCTAAGTCACTGGTACTAATTGAAATAACATTGACCATCTTATATCGCTGTTTCTAAGCCGAACTTTAGTCACAGATGATAACATTCAATATAATATTCTACCCCGATCAGTCTTACAAATGAGTTAAGAAATGTTGAAAAATGGTGAATATGTTGAAAAATGGCTACTTAACCGTGACTTAACTGAATAGATGCATCTTAGATGCCTCTTTTCTAAGTCACTGGGACTAATTCAAATAACATTGACCATCTTATATCGCTGTTTCTAAGCCGAACTTTAGTCACAGATGATAACATTCAATATAATATTCTACCCCGATCAGTCTTACAAATGAGTTAAGAAATGTTGAAAAATGGTGAATATGTTGAAAAATGGCTACTTAACCGTGACTTAACTGAATAGATGCATCTTAGATGCCTCTTTTCTAAGTCACTGGGACTAGTTCAAATAACATAGACCATCTTATATCGCTGTTTCTAAGCCGAACTTTAGTCACAAATGATAACATTCAATGTAATATTCTACCCCGATCAGTCTTACAAATGAGTTAAGAAATGTTGAAAAATGGCGAAAAATGGCTACTTAACCGTGACTTAACTGAATAAATGCATCTTAGATGCCTCTTTTCTAAGTCACTGGGACTAATTGAAATAACATTGACCATCTTACATAGCTGTTTCTAAGCCGAACTTTAGTCACAGATGATAACATTCAATATAATATTCTACCCCGATCAGTCTTACAAATGAGTTAAGAAATGTTGAAAAATGGTGAATATGTTGTAAAATGGCTACTTAACCGTGACTTAACTGAATAGATGCATCTTAGATGCCTCTTTTCTAAGTCACTGGGACTAGTTCAAATAACATAGACCATCTTATATCGCTGTTTCTAAGCCGAACTTTAGTCACAAATGATAACATTCAATGTAATATTCTACCCCGATCAGTCTTACAAATGAGTTAAGAAATGTTGAAAAATGGCGAAAAATGGCTACTTAACCAGGACTTAACTGAATAAATGCATCTTGGATGCCTCTTTTCTAAGTCACTGGGACTAATTGAAATAACATTGACCATCTTACATAGCTGTTTCTAAGCCGAACTTTAGTCACAGATGATAACATTCAATATAATATTCTACCCCGATCAGTCTTACAAATGAGTTAAGAAATGTTGAAAAATGGCGAAAAATGGCTACTTAACCATGACTTAACTGAATAGATGCATCTTGGATGCCTCTTTTCTAAGTCACTGGTACTAATTGAAATAACATTGACCATCTTATATCGCTGTTTCTAAACCGAACTTTAGTCACAGATGATAACATTCAATGTAATATTCTACCCCGATCAGTCTTACAAATGAGTTAAGAAATGTTGAAGAATGGCGAAGAATGGCTACTTAACCTTGACTTAACTGAATAGATGCATCTTGGATGCCTCTTTTCTAAGTCACTGGTACTAATTGAAATAACATAGACCATCTTATATCGCTGTTTCTAAGCCGAACTTTAGTCACAGATGATAACATTCAATGTAATATGATTTTATTGAGAAAAAACAGTCCAAAGTCTCGATATATTTTGCTGAAAATAAATATACAATCTATTGTCTATTCTTGCCATCGATCAACGCTAGTTTTGCGTAAGATTCAATGTAATATGATTTTATTGAGAAAAAACAGTCAGAGTGATGTAGAGTACAGTGTGTTTTACCAAGTCTCGATATGTTTTGCGGAAAGTAAATGTACAATCTACAGTCTATTCTTGCCATCGATCAACGTTAGCTTTGCAGAAGATTCAATGTAATATGATTTTATTGAGAAAAAATCAGTCCAAAGTCTCGACATGTTTTGCTGAAAATAAATATACAATGTACTGTCCATTCTTGCCATCGATCAACGTTAGTTTTGCAGAAGATTCAATGTAATATGATTTTATTGAGAAAAAATCAGTCCAAAGTCTCGACATGTTTTGCTGAAAATAAATATACAATGTGCTGTCCATTCTTGCCATCGATCAACGTCAGCTTTGCATGGATACTTGCCTCAAACTTGACGAATAACTCAATTCTATCAAGATGTGTCAAAAATTTAGCTCATCCACTACATGTTGATATCAATAAAGCACTGTCATTATGTGTCAGTTTAAGGCGTAATTTTTACAATTTTATAGATATAAAAATTTTTTAATACGGTTTTGCATAGACAGTTGCCACAACTTTACGAATAACTACTGTAAATTCTATCAAGATGTGTCAAAAATTTACCTCGTCCACTACAGGTTGATATAAAGCACTGTAACTATATGTCAGTTTAAGTCGTCTTTTTTTATAAAACACTGTATTTGTACGTCGGTTTAAGTCACATTTTTTACAATTTTATTGATATGGAAACTTTTTGAACACACTACGTGTAGATTCCTGCAGAGCAGATATACGCGTAGAAAGCACTTATGAGTCGATTTTCTCATTTGATAGGGTTCCGCAATGTCGAGGTTAACTTTTTTCTTGGCCTCTATCCTCAAGCATAATGAACCGGTATATCGCCATTGGATACTTCACCGCCTTGGCAAGAACTAAACTCTTCCCTGTATTACTTTATCCAGAACTACAAATAAATTTTTAGTATTCAAAAGGCCCAGGGACCCCACTCAATCGTCCTGCTAACGCTCTTCGGTTTATGCACCCAATAGTTACTGTAAAAAATAACGATAGCAAACTCTTCTCTGCACGAATTTATCTAGAACTATAAATGAATTTTTAGTGGCTTTGCTTGATGCTCAATGATCATACTATTACTTCTGCATTAATTCATCTGACAATTAGTAAAGGTTTTCTACTCTTGTGATACACAACATGTACATGCAAACTGCTTCTACTACTCAATAAGTATACAGTTAAGGACTAAACCCTATCGATATTCCTGCGGTAGTATATAACTTATGTGGCTAATGACTAAGCCTAAGTGAGAGTCCATTGCTATAGGATCATCATCAGTTATTATTAACTGCGCTGAAAACCATCGATTTGGCTACTGCAGTACGATATCTCGATTGGTAGCAAAGATCTAAAAATTACGGAGCTACAGTAACTCGAAAAAAGTTCAACGCATACATGTCTTTTTCAACAATTGCAGCAAAATGCCGTCACGGTCTCAAAATGTAGGAAGCATCCTTGTATTACATATATATTATATACTACGTAAAATGCATTTTAGAATTAGCTTTTAATGTTGAGGATACCAAAATTTAAATAATTTTGTTCTACTGCAATTACATAATAAGGTGAATGGCAACATCTAAGAATACCATGATACGGATGAAAGTTCTTAAACCTAAAATGTTAATTAATGCTGTATTCAGAGCAGTCAGTAAGAGAAGTTATGATTTCATATTGCAAAAATCAGTAAAATGTCGTAGAGTTTTTATAGCAACAAGAAATCCAACATCTTTTCGCTAACATTTCATAGTCTTGATGAAACAGGCAAGAATTTCTGAAATTGCGATATGTCTGCTTTATTTGCGACTAGCTGTTTTAGTAAGTTGCTGGGTTGCCAATAGCGACAATCTCCTAATTTGGATTAAAATTTAGATGATTATTACCACAGAAATCGAGATTACAATTTTAGATACGTAATTTAATCGATGGCAACTTACTATGTTTTTCCCAATAAGTCTGGATTTTTTCATAAGCCTTTTCTAAGCCTATCATATTGCTAACGTAAAACATCGGTCCTCCTTTATGACGAGGAAATCCGAAACCAAATTGCCTACATTTGAATGTTTACATTTAATTTCAGTCCGACTTGATATTAAAAATATCACTGAGTTAGATGTTAATTTTCAACTAGATTATGTGGATACAACCCTACTTATACAGAATTTGCGCTGATAAATGCATGCATCATCATCACATTTGCTTACCATATAACGTCAATATCGGATGGTTTCAATGCAATTCCTTCTTCTAAGATTTTGAAACCTTCATTGGCAGCAGATAGAAAACAACGTTCCACAATTTCCTATTTCAATTAAGTAATAAGATTTAAATAATAACATTCGAATAAACCTAACGGATTGCCAGTACATCATTAATAATGTACATAAATTTTACTGTAATTGAAAATAAAGTATTTAGTAAATCATTTTCATATCATATTACATTGCATAAATATCTGTTAGCCGTGTGCACATAATCATAGGAAACTTTATTTGGTAGTAAAATAAAATCTACTATCATATACCGCATTTGTAATATTCCTTCTTGAGAAACCATATTCGTTGCAGTATTTTTCGATCATTTCTGTTACTAAAGGATCAACTACAGCTTTTCCTTTCTCGTATTTATACCATCCCTTTCCTTTGTATTATAAATATTAAAGCATATAAGCATATATTACTATCTTATAATTCATAAATTGTCTGTGCGTTTCCTAAAGTAGTCTAATAATGGCTAAAAATAATGTCAAGTAAAGTCTTTACCGGTCTTCTGTCCCAATCTCCCTGTGTCATGTAATATGTCTCCCAAAAGGGAATAACGTTGTCCTTGCCTTAGCAAAGGATTCTCAAATTTTGGAGCATTTGGACCAGTTAGACCTTTGCCGACTCGATCTCTGTAGCCAATATCTAAACCTGTATATCAGATCAGTCCCATAATATTATTATTTTTAATACTTATAGTAGATACTACAATATTTATTACCAGACAAATCTCCAACTCTCAATGGTCCCATTGGCATTCCATAATCATATAATGTGTCATCGATTTGGTGAGGTAATGCTCCTTCTTCTACCATAAATGTTGCCTAAATGTTGATAACTTTTAAGTAAAAACTTTTTGAAAGTTTTTTTGGAGTATTCAAAAGCGTTCTTTACCTCCTTTGCGTACGGGGCGAGCATTCTGTTAGCTACAAATCCATCACAGTTGCCAACAAGGACCGGTATCTATGTTTATGGCAGAAAATGAGAGTACATGTAAAATTTAGGAAAAAACTTACAGATTAATTTAAAAGCAATGCTACGTGATAAAGTGATCACCTTTTTCATGCGAAGGGACAAATTCATGACGGTCGCAATAGTTTCCGCTGACGTTTTTGTACCCTTAATACATTCTACGAGCTTCATGATATTAGCTGGTGCGAAGAAATGCATGCCCATCACTTTATCGGGAGACGGCACCACAGAAGCAATCTGAGATAATTGTAATTGATTTTAGTAAAGTAATCAAAAGACAGCATACTAAGCAGAGCTAGAATTGACAAGGAACTTGCAACCTTTCGACAAAAAACTTAATTACCTTATCAATGTCTAAATACGAGGTATTGGAGCACAATATTGCATTACTCTGTAAAAATTTGTTCGCATCAATATCCTTTATTCATCGATACAAAGACAACAGAAATACCAAGTGCAATGTACGTAATACCACCTTGCAGTGTTTAACAAGCTTACGAAAGACCTCTTTCTTAATTTCCAAAGCTTCAAAGACTGCTTCGATAACCTATTTTAAGGCAGATTATTTATCAATTTACTTACAAGCACATTATCGAATCTAATACTGAACACTTACAAAATCAACGTCACTCAAATCTTTATATGCCAACGTTGGTTTTACTAAGGCGGAGCATGCTTTAGCCTGTTGCTTAGTCATTCGGCCACGTTTTACGTTTCTTTCAAGCGTTGATTGGATCATTTTCATTCCTCTATCCAAATACTATATTAACAAAGTAATCAACAAAACCTTAGTGAAAGTTATTTACTATGTGTTTAATAGATGCATATTATCCGTAGCACCATATTGCATATATTGGTAAAAATATAAAATACGAGTATACAAATACCGATAGATTTCGTACAATATTGCGCTATACATTACTTCTTTCTTAACTTCCAAAAGTACAACTCGGTACTTTGAGGTCATCAACGCGATCGCAATACCCGTGCCCATAGTGCCAGCGCCAATAATCCCTACAGTTTTTACTGGAATAGGCTTGACATTTTTGGAGTTGACTCCTGATAAAGACCACTATAGTATAAATTACGGAAAGAAAAAATTGTTACAATATATGAATTTGATTGTCCAAAAATTTTATGAAAAGTCTATAAACCTTTGGCGCACTCCTCTGTGCAAAGAAGGAGTACTGTAATGCTCGAGCTTGATAGCTGGCCATCAGTACTTTCATTGATTGTTCTTCTCTAATGACATATAAATAAATTCACAATCATATAAAGTCAAATCGGAAATTAAATTTCAGAGTGAGAATTGCTATATGTACATTAATCTACTATTGATCGTTTATGCTGTTATAATTACTTACTTTTTCATGCCTTCTTCATAAGGCAGAACAGAATAAGAAACACATTTAATACACTCCTGAAGAATAAAGATACGATAACTTTTTAAATTGTTGTACTAGTGTTAAGAATAGATACTGCACGACTTATTAAACTTTTAAATCTATGCTTTATTAAAATTTTTTCTTCGAGTTTTAAAATATACCGTAGGTGCATAGAGTCCACGATATTTTTTTCTTGCATCATCCAAGGCTCCTAGGCAATTCAGTCATTTCAAAATATCAATATTTACAGTCAAGTCGCATAGTTTACTAGTTAAACTTAAGATTATTTTAATTTATTTATTATGGCCCTAAAATTTGAAAGGAAAGTATTACTATTAGCGATGCTGTTCATTTCATTATATGATATTTTCATTTTCATTTTCGACACCATCCGATCTGCAACTGGTTTGTCAGCAATGGCTTTTGCGAAATCGATCGCGCTATCTAATAGCGGTTCATCTACAATCTATGTGGTAAATTACATAATGCAATAATTAATGCATTGAAATATCACCGATATGATAAACTATCGAATACTACAAGCACAGTATGGATATACTACACTATTTTACATAAGATAGCGACAGTTATATTGATAGCCATACTAGCTACTAAGAAGAGTACATAGTAAGCACGGTTTACCTTATCAATTACACCAATTCGGAATCCCTCTAGCGCAGTAATGTGCCTTCCAGACGATATCAAATCCATCGCCATTTCAGCACCAACTAGACGTGGTAATCGCTGGGTTCCTGAACCACCAGGCAGAATGCCCAGAGCAACTTCAGGAAGACCAACTCTGCAAGAATAGTTTCGGATACATTTAATTCCTTTGCGATATTTTGAAATTATTATGAAACGTATGAAATACAGTTGAGCTACAGTTATAATTAGTATTAACAATCAATAAATGTATTCAAGGACAAGAAAATATTATCAATATTTACTCGTCAATAAATTAAAATAAAAATCTGGATTGTATAGCATAATACGAATAATAAACCTGGTAGATCGCGTAGCAATCCTGTAGTGACATCCCATTGCAAGTTCTAAGCCGCCTCCCAGTGCCGTACCATGCATAGCAGCCACAATCGGTTTGCTGATTTTATCTAAACCATTGCAAAGAAGTCCTGTAGGAGTCTTGTCCTTCATTAGACCTAAACCATATCGTATTGTTAATAATTTTCAAGTGCTTTAACCGCTAGTTACGTATGCAGTCGTAAACGCTATACACGCACTGTATAACACAACAATTTCATTACTTTATCCCTATTTGAATCCAATCAGTTTGCAATACAGTACATCATATTCAGCAGTATAGGTAAAATTTCACATGCAGAAGCTAATATTGCTATTTTATATGATAATAGAATCCGTAGGGACTTGTGGACTATTCATTCCAACCTGCAACAAGTTTTGGAAACTCTGTGATGTCTGCACCGGCCGGAAATGTCGCACCCTTACCAATTAATATTATCACTCGAATACGGCGATCCTGCTCGCATTTCTAGATTTTAATTGAAAAATATCAAGATTATAGGTTTCAACTCAGTTAACTTGATACATTAATTAAATTATTACATCATTAGCGACAAATTGCAGACTCGCTCATTCTTGATAAATAAAAACTATAGGGGCATGCAAGTCACTACTGTGACGGTATGTGGAAGATTTGACAAAAAGATTATGTTTAATTGGAATGGGTACTGATATGAAACTATCTTAATATCGATGTGGCCAGCGATGTAATAGGAAGCTTAACATGCAGCACTGTATCAAGTACCGGGCCAGCATAGCATGATTGCTGTGAAATACGGTACGTTATATTTTGTCGATGTCACCGACTAAATAAACATTAAACAATAATATCTGTTCCGTAATAACGCAACGTTGTCATGTCGTGGAGGTGCATTTCAGGTATGAAAACATGGCCTACATGGAACAAAGATACCGTATCTACAGTATTTAAAAGAAAAGCTTTCTCGAATGCCAAATGTGTAGAGTCTGCCCGTTGAAAGGCCGAGTAAGTCATCATCATATGGCTACTTGGTTAGTCTAGGCTAGAGTCTTGGTTTCACTACAACTACAACTGCAATCGCACTTGTCGTCGGCATTTGTATGTAAGCCACGGCATGTAGGATTGATAGAAATAATGAAAGAACTTGAAAAAACATTTTTACATCTATTAGCAGCACAGTACTGCAATACATATTTCACCTGGACGCTGCGCAAAATTTGAGTTCTCAAGGCATCACTATAAAATGAAAATAATAATAAAACGATCAGTCGTCATTGACTTTGATTACTATCCATTGATTGCTTGATGAATCCGTGGTTTGAGTCATATCATCCATCTCTTTTTATCCAACTTAGACATACAGTATGTTCATGACTACTTACACAAATACAGTAAAAGCGGAAGTAAAAGCATGCATACTAGGAAAAGAAGAATTTTTCAAACTACTGTACTAGTGTACTGTAGACTCTTGATAACAAGTGATGACCAAGCAATCCCTGGAATTGTCGACGCCACGTCAATGAGAGTAGAAATATGTTTGAAACTATACATCATTGCATCAAAACAGAGACGATACTATGACAGAATCTGACCTAAGAGCGTTCACTGGTGGATGATTGATCCAATACTGCATCAACTACTACGGAAATGAAATCATTGCCCAGTACGGAGGAAAAGGCTCGGTCATGCCTGTGTTGTGGTCCACTTTTTCCAGCGTAACCTACAACTGCGCAAGTCCAATTTCTTGACCCCCAGCTCACCCCAATGTTTACATACTGTAATCATGGACAGTCACACCTACGTACAGTACTGTCCGCGCGTCTGTTCACGTACTGTACGACAGTGCTGGACTGAGACAAATCGGTATCTTAGCAACGTAGCATCACCGTTTACTGAATACGAAAACTTGACTAGTAAAATATACAACATACAAGGTGAGAGCAGTCCTAATATTGAAGTAGAAGGGAATAGTACATCTCCAAAATGGCATCCACCATCAAGATATATCAAGGAAATAGTCGCCATTTTCCTGTTGAATACAGTAAGCCTTACAGATTTCTGAAATTGAAACCTTTATTATAATTGTCATGAATATAATAATAAAGGTGCATAACGATAAGATATTGAAATACGATGCATAGTTGATTTTTCTTCATTGAATTCAAGCAGTCACTGATTGTAGCTGTAATGTGAAAAGGGCTATACTGCACAGTTGTAATTCAAGCTTGAAGAAGCTAAAATTTCAGATATTAGATAAGAATAATCTCAAGATATACAAGATTTAAATTAATATACTCACAATTCCAAAGAGCCACTTGGAAAAATGACAACCATAGTTATACTACTAGAGTAATTGAATAAAATAATCGATGCTATACGCACTAACGCGCATAATAAGTGTTATGGTATATTATATTTAATGAAATCTCTACCATACTTAAGATACGCACATGATCTACCAACAACTAATAATTGTTATAATTTTCAAAAAGATGAGCTTTTAATTTATTTTATCGCTTCAATTGTAGCTAGAGAACCACGGTTAAACCAGGAAAGTATCAATGTCGACGACATCAAAAAGACTGCTTTGGTCCCAAAATCGCAATGGGATAGAATGCAATATTCGTTAACGAAATCTGCTATAGAGGCGCAACAGAAGAAAGCAATTAAACAGGAGAGAGACGCGCTACACGAATCGTCAAAAGGAATTGTAAAATACTGGCCCAATACTATTGAGGTAGTTAATCATTTTGTAATTTCTATTTTTATTTCACACTCTAAAGAATCTTCGCGGTACATTATAGGGCAAAAGATTGAAACGGCTACAAGCTCGCCAGGTAAAGGAAGAACAAAAAGAAGTAAGTTACATGTACACATCCACATATTCATGCGCTACAGTATTAGCTGTTAGTATTAAAAATCCAATCTAACCTGGCTATCTTAAAATAAAATTGCCAATATAATCCCTTTGCAATTAATATTGCCTTACGATTGTTTAATATTTATCAATAGAGAGAACGGTTGGAGTTAGATAAGCGAGAAGACGAGTACAATGCTCAAATGAGAAAAAATGCAATTAAAAGAGCTAAGGAGTTGCAATATTTTCAAACTGATCGCATTAAAAATTTCCATGTATGTCTTAATCAACTACTGATAAATTAGTATAATTTAGTAATACTTGGTAATGATAAATTTAATTAAATCGTGCAAATTGATATATCCAACTTACAGAGTGCACTCCTTACTGGAGAAGTGCTTAAAGAAAGAGAAGCTCAAATCGATTTTAAAAAAATGAGACGTGATGTGAATAAGGAAAAAGATGAAAGATATATTCAGCAAATGAGAAATGAGTATGATGCTTACTTGAAACGCGAGGAAGAGGAGAAAACTAAACGTCGCGATATACGAAAACAATTCTCGGATTTTCAACTAAGCCAGTACGCTTATGCAAAATTACTATTCCTATATGTTACTATATTAAATATACGTATCTGTAATAGCATGTTAATCCTACATATCATAATTTAATGTTGAATAAAAAAACTATATTTTGTATCATAGGGTAAAAGAAAAAGAGAGTCAAAAGAGTAACTTCATAAAAACTGATTTAGATGAAAGAAAAAAAATCGATGATGATGTGGTTAGTACATTAGAAAAGTAATCATACCATAAGACTAATGTTTTCCAAATATAACTCTTTACTTCATTCATGCTTTAACAGCGAAATCATGAGCAAGTAATAAAAGAACAAGCGAAGAAGCAAAGAAAGGTAAAACTGATTTTTTTCGTAGCACTTCTTATCAATAGCTAATCTTGATGTCACTAAGTTTAACAGTAAAGTAAAATATTATTTTCAACAATCTATAGAATAAGCAAGAGCTCATGAGTGACTATAAGGAGGCAATGGCTTACAGGCAAATGGTAAAAGCAGCAGAGAAAAAGCTGCAGGAACAAGAAGAGGAAGAAACTAGACTATTTGCAGAAGCTAAAAAGGTAAAAACTTCTAATTAAAATGATATCTCAGGTCAAAATTTCAGTGGTGCATTGTAATTGACTTAGGTTTCTTATAAGCGCATTTACATTTTGAATACATAGAGAATGATTAGGATGAGAAAAGAAAAAGAATCTGACTTATTTAAAGTCTTCAAAGAACATAATGATCGTATGGTGGATAGGTTACGAAATATAATGGTACAAAAGGTTGATGATGAAGATGATAGGATTGCTCGGGCGGTTGCAGAGAGAGATCGAGAAAGAGAGGTATTTATCCAAGCATCGATTCAGAGATTTTTTTATATTCACGCCCGTTCACAGTTGACATATTTATGCTTAAATGTTTTGCAGGAAATAGAAAGATTACGCAAGGAAAAAAATGAAAAACAATTAAAAGAAATCGCAAAGCATAGAAAAGAAGTGGTACGTGTGCTATTTTTTATACCCTATTAAACGTGCTACAAAGCTAGACGATTGCATTTATAAAAGTATCATTTTTTTGTCATATCTGGAAATAGATTAAACGAAATGAGAAAATAATAGCCGAAGAGAAAGAAAAGAGTAAACAGACACTAGAAAGGAGTAAACAAGAATATGAAGAGGTAGACATCTTAAATTTACATCATACACTTAAGTTTTGTAACTTTACGCTGCCTTTGCTAGGCTATGATGTAGATAAATTTGCATATATATATATATATATCTGCTTGTAACATTTAAAGATTGGGAATTATTTCCACGCTGTGCTTGATGAATTCTAACTTACTTACGGGTAAACAATATCGGTTTGTAATCTTATCAATCTTTCTCTGTAATTCAGTGGAAAGTCAAGGAAAAAGAAGAGAAAAAAAAAGCACTTACAACAGTTGTCAAATTGAAGCAGCTTAACTTGGAACAAATAGTAAGTTACAAGTTGCCACTCCTTCATTAATATTCCAATAATTTTATTAAAACATACGTTACAGTAATGAAGTAGACAATTTCAATGACCTACTGAACAGGAGCATTTACTAATATTATATCAATTTTCAAGGGGGAAAATACGATAAGAAGGAAAAACTTAAGGGAACAAGATAGTGACTACATCAAAAATATGCAATCACAAGAGCTCAAAGACGAGAAAGTATTTCAGAAATATGCCGCAAATGTTATCAAGGCAACTAAAAAAGCTGATCGAAATCCATTACCACTCGTTAAAGCAGCAAATCAAGTTATGCATCACAGTACACAAGCTATTACAGAGGATGGAAACATGATTGATGTTCAGCGAAAGTCTGATAACGCTCACGACAAAATATATGGTCGGCCGTTAAACTCTAAGAAGCGCCTCGGCTTTAATTGGGACTAACAATGCACAAAAACTGGATTCGACAACAGTCTTACTAATTTGATCAATTGATGATTATCTTATTAATATTAAATTCGCTAATTTAAAGTTTACAGATCCAGTGTGGAGGTCTTAGTGTTACGGCAAAGTTCATTTTAAATACTGCATTCACTCACGGGATATTTGTATGCTAGAATTGATATTCGATTATCAAAACGTTAATATCACTGCCAGTATCGGTCCTAATTTCTCATACTGTACAATATAAAATGAGTCGTTTTTTTTATTTTAGGATGATTTCACATTCGTGTGTCGGCATAAAACATATAATATATAGAATATTACTAAGAGTAATAGTCTACTCAAGTGGTACAATTATGATTTCTAAACAACTGTATAAGGTATGATAGCTAGAAGTCGGTCATACATAATAGAATTGACCAATCTGATTTCAACATGAATCTTGTACAATACTAATTACACTCGTAATATCAGTATGAAATAAAATACGGAAACGAGTAACAAATGTCTGTTTTATGGTTATGCGACAACTATGTTAAACAATAACCTAAGCGATAAATATTTTCTCTTCTCTTCGCTTCTTTGTCATAATTTTTCCTGGTTTACTGTTAGCGTCAGGATGATTTGATAGCTCTATCGGACATGTACTTATAGGACTTGACAGCAATAATTGCTTAAGATCATAGAACACGCCTGAATCATCATTAGTTAAGAAAGTTATAGCGGTACCAGTCTTTCCAGCACGCCCAGTACGACCAATCCGATGAGTATAACCTAAATACACAATTTAAAATTATGGTTTATAATTTAGGCCTCACTGCTTATTACCTTCCTTAAACAACCTACTTTCAATCGATTTCGCCATATCGTAATTTATAACATATTGTACGTCCCTACGTGAAAGATAGCAAGCAATTATAACCCTTTACAAGTAGGATAAAGTAGCAGTCAGTGTGAACGATTGTTAATGTTTAAAAATCTTACCGTATGTCAATACCACGGCCTGCTACGTCAGTAGCTACAAGAATATCTTTTGAACCTGATTTGAGTCCGTTCAAAGCTAGCTCTCTGATTAAAAAATAAAAGAACAAGACTTTAATTCACTACATATTGCTTCATACAAGCTGTGTGTACAACGTATGCAATAAATTACACATTCTTGCATTTATGTGATTGGGAATATACGCGATAAGCGATCATGTATATTAGATTTTACCTTTGATCCTGACTTTTACCACCGTGTAATGTCGCAGAGCGATACTACGATAAACAGCAAAAAGAATCCATCACATACAGTTGCCATTAGTTATAATAATAGTACTCCGTTCCATATGTGGCATATATTTAGCAATTAATTTCCTATGTAAAGTTTGAGTAATATAGCATCAAAGCTTACCCCAATTTTCTCGAGAGATTTTGCAAGAACATCACAACCCTACATAAAGAAGGTCAAGAAGGTCAAGACAGTGACCGATTTACCAAAGGCACTACTTTCAATAAAATTTCATCTTTATCTTCATGCAAGTACATGGTTTCTTACCTTCTTTTGGTTAACAAATATAATAATGGGCGATTCCAGTGTTTTAAGTAGTGTAACAAGTTTCTTTCTATGATGGACAGTTTTTAATTAGAGATAAGACCTACATACTTTTCAAACGAAAAATTTTTAAATTACCGTTTATCGTTTTCATTTTTCATCATGTGAACTATTTGTTCCACGCTCTCTGTAGGCTTTCCTGTAGTTAAAAATTAATTTATCTTCGCAACTTATCTTATAAAACTTTTTGCTAATATACAAATAGTGATACAATAGGCTAAATTAAGTTTACCTGCAGATCCAATGTATACTACTGCGGGTCGCCTGCGGAGATTAAAATAAATATTTTGAATAAATAAAAATAATAGTGCATAACATTAAAAACTTCTCTTGTTAGCAATATTTCGTAGCAACCTCAGATAACTCCTAGCTAATCTCTCAACAGGGGGTGGCATTGTTGCTGTGAACATGACGGTCTAGAAATATTAAAAATCATATCAGAAGCATAATTCTACATAAAATTTATTCCAAAATTGAGGATAGAGAATCCTAAAATACATATGTTGACATTACTACCTGTCGATATCTATTCTTATCGCCTAATTTTAACCGTATCTTATTAGGATCTTGAGCATCATCTGTATCGGGCTTCTGATTACTAACTGGTAGATATTCAAGGATACTTTGTACATCTGGTTCGAAGCCCATATCAATCATACGATCAGCCTACGAGACAAGAATTTCAAAAATTGATCCCGTGTATTAAAATGGGATATCGGAAACTCGATTTTGAAATATAGGATATTGAATCGTTAATACGAAAAATTGTTAATTCACTTACTTCATCCAATACGACATAGGTGCATTGATTAAGAACAAGATAACTATTGTCTATGAAAGAAAACGAAGAATTGTCACATTTCTGCAAATTTAAACATATTGCAATAAAAGATCTTTAAGTAATATAATTCATAATTTTTACTTTAATAGCTTATTAGCCATTACCTAATACATCCAGAAGTCGTCCGGGCGTCGCAATAACGATCTATATAAATTTTTCGAGATAATCATGACATCAAAAATATTAAAAAATACATTTCGCTAATGATTTGTACATATCAAAATCTTTGCAGAATATCTTACTTCACATCCTTGCCTTAGGAGAAAGCCCTGTTCCTCTCTGTTAAGCTGTAAGGTATTGTATTAATGAAAGTTACATCATGATTTCTGATAATAATAATATATAAGAATAAGAAGTATAAATTTAATTATACCAACCCCTCCTATCACGGCAACGGTTCGAATCCCAACAGGTTTTCCAAATCTAGCAGCTTCTTCTTCAATCTGTCATTCATGAATACATCAATTGTTTACTTCATTGAAGGCTACAGAATGTTAAACTCATACTCAAATTATTAATTTACCTGTTGTGCCAACTCTCTCGTGGGTGCCATAATGATTGCATATGGACCTTGATCAATATCAGCTTCCCTAAGATATAAGAATAGATGATGCTTATAATACTACATTAATGGTAACTAATCAATTAACAGCTAACACTAACCTAACAATTTTAGGCAAACTGGTTATCCATACCAATAAAGGTATTAAGAAAGCAGCTGTTTTACCGCTACCTATAAGCAAACATTGGCATAGCTTGGTCAATACAGTACAACAACATTTCATATCTTGGCAACGTTGAATAAGGAATAAATTGTCAACGACTAAAATCGAACCTGTTTCTGCCACACCAATTATATCTCGATTTTGCAAGCCAATCGGAATTGCTTGCCGTTGAATTGGGGTCGGTTCCTGACAAGGAACAAAACATTAAATTAAGTTTACCAATTAAAGTACTATAATACCTCCGCACGTACGTTATATTTCAAGTCGCTAATTATGTCAAGCAATTCCTTTGATAACTCGGATTCCGACCACGCCCTAAGGGGATTTGGAATAGATCCACCTAGATAAGATCAGGAACAAGTACGAGAGCACAGTGGTCAATAAGATTTCAAGGAGTATTGATAAATTGATCGAGTAGTATAAACCTTTTGTACTAATATTGTAATCTTCACGAAAAATTCTCCAATCTCTTTCAGTCATTTCATCCAAATCTTTTTGAGTCCAATGTCTCTCATCATAAGCTACCCTTTTCTCTTTATTTTTTTCTCGATTAATTCGGTCTCTATATGTAAAAATTAATGAAAGTTCTATGAAAGTACGAACCAGTAATCATTATTGCGAAATTTAGTACCTTTCCATATCTTTTTCTTCCTTAGTGCGTCTTTCTGCTAATAAATCCCCATAAAATCTCGATTGATTTTTCTTTTGTTCCTATAAAATAACGCGTTGTCGTTGAGTTTATGCCATATACATTTTCTATGGGGATCTTTAATAAGAGTACTACCTTTAAGTCAATTCCAGCAATGTGCCCGCGTCCAAGAAATTGAATATTATGTCTTTCCTGATATCTGCAAAAAAGATTGAACTACCACTGCTAAGTCATGGATGATAAAAAGTAGTGTACATTATTACTAAATTATAACCCAAAAGGTGATCTAAATTAACATGTCATACGAAATCAGAATTTTATAATTTCGCTTAAAAGGATTATAAACATCGTAGTGACAGTTATCACTACTAAAATTCGGCCTATAAGTCATCATCTTTCGTGAACACATCAGAGTAATATATTATTTAACATAACCCGATCTTGAATTATCTGTCCTACGTACATAGGGTTAATATCATCGGACGTATCATCTGTAGCTTCCCAATCGAACACAAATTTTCTTTCGTTCATACGACGCAGTTTCTTTTTCTTTTTTATACCACCAAGGTATTGTTGCTAAACAATATTTCGTTGGTTAAATAATTTTATAAAGCAGCAATGTATCAAGTAATAAAATAAATTAATGCTACATACTTTAATCGCATCAAGTTCCTTCTGTTTGTCTCTATCAAGCTGTTAAACAATCCGAATGTAATAAATTATTGCACAATATAATAATAATATTAATTGCAAATTATATTTGAAACTAAATATCTTGGTATGCATAGCGTATCATAGAATATTTTAATTACATCATCGTGTATTTCTCGACGATCTCTTTCCCTTCGATCTCGTCTAGACCTACGATCTATATCAAAAAATTTAAATATTAGTTGTAGACGTTCACATGGTCGAATGACTAGTGGTTCTACATCGTCAAAAACTAAAACCTTGATTGCTCTCCTCCTCAAATTTTTGTCTTTTTTCTCGTTCTTCCTATCAGGATTTATACAATATCAATAATAACTACATCGATATGGACATATGCATAAGGTAACAAGAAAATTCGTAGATAATTTAGAGCGTAAAAAAGTCACTTATTACCTGTAGCTTCTTATTCCTTTCCTCAACTTCTAGCTGTCTTTTCTTTAGGGCTGCGGCAACACGTTCTTCTTTGGTTAAAAATTTAGGCTGACAAAATATGAATTAATATTAAAGAGATTATTTCCATGTATAGTTATAAATTAAGACTAAGAACATTAACCTTCGCCAGATTGCTCAATCATACACTTTAAGTAATACACATACGTACTTTCGATTGCTCTTCCTTTTCTTGATTTCTTTTTATTATTAGTTCTTCCAGTGATAATGGCTTAAAAATGCAGTAATGATATCGTATTAGGAGGCAAGGATACTTAAAAATCGACTCATAATTATAATTGCTGAAAAGATCGATAAAGTCTTCCTAACAGCAGACCCTTGATGCAATATACAGGCATCATTATTATGAGGTGCTATGGCACCCAGTAAATGCTATTTAATTATGAAAGGGTTTACAAAATAGGCAAATCTTAAATGATAACGAAATTTGGCATGATACATACATCATGTACTAGATAGAGTCAATTCTTACTTGTTTAGTTGGTTTCGATTTACTGTCATTTTCACTACGTGATTTAATGTTCTCACTGTTTTCAGAATCTCTCTTTTTGCGTTCATCACGCAGTGGTGATCTAAAAATGAAATAAATAGCTTAAAATTCAACATTCCTGCAATGACAGCATGAGTTATTTTGATCTATAGCTCTTTTATCAATGAAAGCAATATGTTGATCAATAAAATAATAGCCTACAAATGGAGATATAGTGACTACGATCGACTCAACAAGTAACTCGAGTTGGATTTCGAAAGTCATTATTTTGAAAATATAGCAACAGAATATACTCACCTGGAGCGAGATCTTGGTCTATTTCTTTCTCTATCTTTATCCCTGTCTCTATCTCTATCTCTATCTCTCTCTCTATCTCTCTCTCTATCTCTATCTCTCTTTCGCCTATCGCTATCATAGTCATGATTACGGCTGCGATACCTACTTTCATCTTTGTCTTTCGCCATATTTAACTTCAAGCAGTGAAGGACGACCTGCAAGTTAAAATAATAAAGATATCATTAAGACGAACTGGTTACTGCTAGAATAGAATGTTTTATTAATCTTGCTAGTACTACAAAGATTAAGAAGAATTTTTAGTAAAAAAGAAGTGATTTCTTAATTTTAAAGCCCTGCAAAAAGCGAAATATACGAGATAGAAATGGTATAGTGTAATCAAGAAATAGTATACAGTCAAGAATAATTTGTACCATCTCATATGTGTGTCAATAGCCATAGCTTGAGGCATTAATATATTTCGCTTTACAGTTCTGAAGTAAGAACAAGTATGATATTTTATCATTTGCCTGGAATGCCGTCGTGTATTCTATCTCGATTATGTCATTTCAAAATTTGCGTGTTCAGCGCTCACAAGATCATTTTGCATGCATGCAGCTGCTTGATTGCCGTCAGCCAACATGAACATTGATGATAGCAGATGGACTATACGCGTACACGGCTTTACCAAGTCAAGACTATTACTAGAGAAATGAAAGCTACTATAGTAAGAAAGAAAATTGACATTGAAAGGCAGCTCTGTAGCATTGGTCATTTGCTACTCTACTTCTCTCGAGCATACTTGTCAACTGTAAGAAAGGCATTTCCAATTGTACGCTTACCTAGTACTGTAGATCACCTATTCACCCATGAAGAATGTGTAGCAATACATCAACAATTCTACATTGATGATGGATATTGAAAAGCTACTCTCAGCAATTTGTCTTTGGCTACTCTACCTCTCTCAAGCATATTTGTTAACTACAAAAAGTACCATTTCCAGTTGTATGCTTCCATCAGCCATTCATCCATGAAGAAAATCCAGTCACATATATATATATATATATATATACACCCAAAAATGCTACGTTGACAACACTGTCTCCATGGGCTTTCACTCAAGCATACTTGTCCATTGCAAGTGAGATATTTGCAGTCATACGCGTATGCTTACATCAGCTATTTGCTCGTACAGGAAGTTTAGTACTACACAAAAAATTCTACACTTTACACAAGTGATATTGAAAAGCTAGTTTGTAGAATTTTTTGTCTTTTGCTATTCTATTTGGCTCAAGCATACCGGTGGCAGTCAAGAGCAAGAGACATTTTCAGTCATGCACTTCTCCTCATTCACTGACCCATTATTAAAGAACACGTCCAGTAGTTTAGTAATACACCGTAATTTTACATTTACTGTCCATCACAATATTAATACGACTCCCCATCTGCTCTTCAATACTACTAAATACCAATAACTTTAACTTAGCTCAACGAAAAGCAATGATAGAAATGATTTATTGCTAGTTATTCAAATTTACCACCATTGAAAAACGTTTCATCTACTCCAGCAGTGAAAGACATTGCGTCCTCAATGAGTGGTTACCACTGAAGAAAGACACATTACTCTACGTCTAAGGTAAACTAACTTAACTAATTTTGGGCAATGACAAGCTTATAGCTGTTCTAATCTATCTAATAATATAAAGAGAATTGAATATACTTCTACCATACCTAAAATGAATCAAGAAATCTTGCAATCTTCAAGGGAAAGCAACTCCAACTGGCTGCTGCCTCCGAGACTAGTCCAACCTGGCTGTGGCACACAAGCTATACTGTAAGACATACTGTACTCATACCAATGTCCAGAGTGATACTGAGTGCTATAGCTACGTTAGCTGCCTTGCTGACACAGTCACTTTAGGACATTGCCGCGACTACTTTATGCTATAGGGTGTTCCATGTAAGTCATACAGTACTTGAATTTATATGGTAAAATGGTAAAGTCATACCGTGAAAAGAAGAGGAAGCGCGCAGCACTATCCAAAACGTCAAAACTCCATTTTCCAGCACTCCAATCGGTATGTCTGTACGTCTGTATAACCAGCGACATCTTGGATACAGATAGACTTGAGAAAGGTTCGGTTATTTTCGACAGAATCTTTAGTTGACGATAGATTGGAGGTATATGTATGGATTGTTTTTGATTAAATGTATACGGTGCTAGATGGTGTAGTATTTGGCATTGGTTAGCCGTAAAATAAGCCAGTGCTACACTTCTACAGTGCTCTAGGAACTTGGACGCACTTACGAGTACTGTATACTCGGATGCATTGATGCATTTACGCATACCCGAGTGAAGAAAGACATCTAGTAAAGCATTTCTATGAATACATAGTAATGCCAAGAATAATTCTATCTTTCTAACCTTTCAATTTAGATTATATGGATTACTTGATGCTAATAAATCAATTGACCCTTATCCCATCTACCAATAATTTCAACTTTCTTTATCACATATGGATTACTAAATATACTCGTAAGTATCGTACAGCAGTATTTTACTCTATTGATATAAACTTATGAGACAGTATACAGCAAGGAGAGAAGATAGCTAGAGATTATATATAAATCATCTAGAATATTTCTAGCAGACGTATTAATACAGTTGGCAGTTCGTAATGCATGCCATAGAGATACAATAAGCGCAAAACTGCGTCAACAATCCTCATTTTTATCCACTCCAACAACACATCACTTTGGCTGGACCAAGCAAAATCCTTATTAATAATATCATCATGCACGTATAATTACTGCACATTATATTAGAGAAATGGTATGAAAGGGATACATATCAATGCTATAATTCAAACACATCAGTGTAATAAAAATGTTGCATTAGTGCTATTTACCCTTTATACTATAATTAATTGATTATTCACGTAGAATGTACATTGTACACAAGTGTTTTATTACGCGTACATGGAGTAGAGATGTTTTATACAAGTGTATGCTGGTACTCCAATAACAACGACAAGGATACTAATGCGAAATACAGTACATTATTTCCACGCTACCAGAGGAAGCTATCTAAATTACTAAGCTGATATTTTAGCAAATAGAAGCTCAAGATACCCCCTAAAATACATAAACCGGACAATTTTGGGGAATATAAGACATCTCAATCATACACAGTAGCAAGTTGTTACCCTGTAAAAGTCGATAGAAATTTATTCTTGGCACAGTATAAAACACTGTACCCTAACCGCAAATACTCTTACTTTTAATTCAATTATCGCGTAGCTCAAACGACATGTGTACATGTTGTCTAGGCACCTATTAAAATTACATTGTTCCATACCAAAGCTATCGGCATAGTAGACAAAAGTTCTGAAATACGATCCAAGGAAAACAGTACATAGGAAGTCAAGTACATTCTATTTTCCAACTATGGGCTGATTAACCTTAAGGGTTTAAGGTAGCTACGATAAACGTTTCCAAAGAAAAGTAATATGTTACAATATGAACATCATTTAATTGAAATGGGTGCATATTCCATAACCTACGCGCACACAGGATGAGAAATTAATCAAGTTAGAGCGTCTCCTTAAATATTAGCCTGTGAAGCTGAATAGGTACATGCAAGATTAACATGCATAACCTATAAACTATATGCAAGTGCATATTTGACGCGGTTATCTAATATGTATATATCACAAATTTGATATAAAACAGCATAAATATAGTTGCCACTTGACTTTGGTAGCTAAATAAAATGATTTTCATAACCAATCCGTATAATGATGCAAGATATAACAAAGCTAGCGAATGCTCAATTACATAAATGATTAAATAAATTTTCTCTTCAAAAATTTTTAATGATTCTCTTCACTGCTTGCTGTTGTTGTTGTTGTCCCTCTCGATAGTAATACATCAATATCGATATCTTCATCATCGTCGTCAACTACGAACGGGTCGGGAGCATCCACCTGCTGTGGTTTGTCGGGAAGTAATTCCTGTCGCTCATGTTCGTCTCCTTCCGTTGCTGAAATTGGGATATCTTTCGCTCTAATATATTCTTTCGTAGAATTTTCTCTATCTCCACTATCGCTTGAATCATTACCCTTAAACCACCAATTTGTTACCTTACTTTTCGCACTTGCAAGAGCCCCTCCTAACCAGATAAGCAATATAAGATTACGTAATAAAAAATATCTTAGACTACATCATAAAACTACAAAAAACCAACCAACTGCCTTCCCAGTATTAGAGACTGCTTGATTCAATTTCTTGCTTTGCTCCTGATCCATTAATTGTACGTCTTGTAATTGGCTGTTATAATTTTAATACAGAAATCAATGTCAATAGTGTACTACATAAAAATGATAATAAAAGCAACGACTCCTCCCTAGTATGGATAGAATACAAACGTAATGTCGGGAACTTTTTATTACACTTTTACCACAATGATAAACGTTGGGACTTACTAAGATAATCTCATTTTGACATCGGATAACGTATATGAACCTTTAAACGGGTGTCTTAGCAATGGAGAAGATGAAAAGTTATATTGTTATAGGAATATAGAAACTTCAAGTGAATGTAATAAACAATCAAACGACAAAAACTGCTATCTTACCCAACAGGGACATCATCAAGCTTGGTATAACTACCGCTCTTCCATTTATGATAACTATCAGTTGCTTTCCATTGATTAACGAAAGTGTGATTGAAATCCGTTAGAATCTCAAAGTTATCTATAAAAAATAGATCAAACGATTTCAAACCATTTTATGTCAACCGAACGTTAATAGAAAATTAAGTAGATAATAATAAAAGCTTTACTTATTTCAAGTACCTGTGCGCTGTACTGTAGCCAGTAAAGAAACTAAATAATTTTTAAATTGTACTCTAATCCAATCATCGCTCCCTTCCCAAGCTAAAAACAAAACTAATTTAGTTAATAACATGTACGAACTTTTCAACACTAAATTACAATAGCATTAAAACCTACGCGAGGCATCTGATCTATTCCCTTTGGCACTAAACTTAGATGTAATATATTGCGATAAGTATTCAGTGAATCGGAGGTCTTCAGTTGTTAGCGATAACGCTCGGGTAAGAGACGGATCTCTTACTTCAATAACTCCTTTCTCTACCTACATGAAACAGATTTTTACCCGCATAAGCGTCATACAATATCGCTGATAACGACTGACAGGCAAGGCTACGTACGTATACAACAGCATGTGCAAAGCTATGCCGTAAAAACAAGATGTTAGTTGCTCCTGCAATGAAACTGTGCACTGCCCTTTTGTCTCTCAATAGGTCCATTTGTTGTAGTGATACGTAAGGTTGGAAAACTACACCCTATATCCGAGTTGTTACATAAACGTTTGACATATAAATGGATTGACTACAGACAATTGCTAAAGATCATAAATTATTTCTACCTGATGGAAAATTTCTAGAGGTAGCCCATATTCATCAGCCGAAAGTTCGCCATCATGCCACTTACAGCTAATTTTTGCCATTTGACAAGTTAGTAATCGGGGAATTAATAATTCCGTAACACCTGAAAGTGTATTATTACGGTTAATTACGTCATATATGCAGATGAATGATAGGTAAAGATATTATCTCCGTACCTGGGATTAAAGACAAAGCTGACAACATCGTACGACACGTTGTTCTTACGGGTGAGCCGTAAAATAAGACCTAGGTGGTAATTCACAAAACCTACAATTAACTATTTTATTTTACGTGAAAATTCTACTTTGCATCATAGGTATGAATCACGAAAATTCAAGTATTTACCTTTTTTTCCAGTAGCAATAACTTAAATAACGAAACGAGCTGTAATTTATCAAAAAATAATTTTAGCCTTATTGTGTTCACCATAAACAGATAACAATTCAATCCTTACTTTTCCCTTAAAGCGTTTGAACGTATCTCTAACCGACAACCCTATGTTAAATTTAAAATTATATATCAGATAACATTGCAATAAATATGGAATGCTTCCGTCCTTATTCAATAATATCAGAACATTAACCTGCATTAATATAAGTTTTATCAAGCATTTTCCAAGAAATCGTTTGAGTTAAACTTTTAAAGGCGTCCTAATCATAAGCGGTCAAAACATTATTGAATAGCCGTCAAAGTCACTAAACTAACGGGATTAATATAATTACAAGTATAAATCAACGATACTGCAATATCGCTTTTCTGTACCTCTAAGATCGAAGTCTTGGTAAAGTCTTTCTCCTCAAAGTATGTTCGTATAATTACCTCCAATTTTGATAGAATAAGCATGTACAGAGGCTGCATAAAAAGCCAACATGAAACTATTACAATCACTGATGCACAAAGATAAATTTTATTTACAATACAGCTAATGTAATGCAATGAATCAATTTTGTAAGATAGAATATAGACTAATTTCACTTTTAGGAAACGATTATCCATACCACTTTTGATAAAATGCAGACGCTCTTTTTAACCTCTGTTCGAGTCATAGACTCGTCCTTATTAATTAGGTCCTAAGTTTTCCAATATCATAACGTTAAGTTTGCATCAACAATTTTTAGCAAATTGTTATCATAATGATCCTAGCAACGATTGCTATTTCTAACATGCATGTTCTTGTATTAGCACATTTTACAACAAGTTCATCGATGTATATCTATATGAGCAAATCTTTAACCATAAAATTCTAATTTAACAATGTTTTCATACCTTTGTTTCTATACTCCTATAATGAGATACTCCATACAGTGTTCCAGTAGTAGGAATTCCTTTATCATCAATGTCAGGTACGTGGAAAAATGTTGCATCTAAAAACAATTTCAGGGCAGTCTTTATGAAGCGAGTAGTAGTACAGTACCATACGTATTATGACGTGTACTATATGCTATTGCATCGCTTTACTTTCCAGTATAAAGAATGATGATTGTGATAAGGGTGAATTAAAGCTGCAATTATTACCGTTATTATTGTTATTTACAGAATAGAGTTAGAAAAGTGAATTTTTCTAGTTATAATAATATGATTAATAGCTAGTAATGACAAGTACGTGCAGACCTGTTAACTTTTACCTTTCAAACGATAAGCGAACATGTTAACGTGTACAAGAAGAACGAATATTACTACAGTAACGTAAGATAAGCGGTTACTTTATATACTGTAGTGAATAACCCGATTTAATACCTTCTTTGACAGTATGAGCACCATCAGGAATACATAGATTAGGCAAATCTTGCCAAGGATCGGGCATCGGAATACCAGTACTTTCATTCTTTTTCAAAGTATCAACAATTAAGGGAGGATACACAAACTCTACCTAATAACGATAAAGAATGAAACAACGATCTCATTAATATAAATTTTATATATGATTATTAATGCCAGTATAAAAGTTGTTTAACTTCAATCCTTTCGATAAATGTCAACATAGGTTTGTCACTAAATAAATTTTAAAACATTGGTTGTCGTATTTTTGCAATATCTATTAAATAAAACATCTTTTACAAGATGGCATTCTATCGTTATACAATATATATAGAGTAGCAGTTTAACGAAGGATATACAAGCTAGTCATCCTTCAACAAAATCCAATATACTGTATGATCATTCTCCAATCTATGAATATACGTATAATAATATGTGATTGAGCTATGAATTTCATTTCTTTCCAACGAATAGATCTCATTATAGATTACAAATAGTCCCGAAATAAACTACTTATGAATCACAATTATAAACAGAGTTTATCCATTTTCTACAAGTATTCAGTATATCCGTTGGATATGATCATTTGAAATAGTAAAACATTGAATAACTTATTTAATCAAAGTATAGTTGAAGGCAGAAGGTAGCTCGTAGATCGATGCACAGTTTTGTATCATTTTATGATTTATACAGTTAGATTAAGCGAAACATTTTATCAAACAGCACGAGATCCTTCTGTATGCATTCATGAATGGTACTGTAGATGAGTGAGTTTATAAGAAGGAAAACTTATATGCTGTATCACTACATGGCGTCATACGCACTGGGACCAGCTAAGGGGTAATTAGATTCACTAACGTAGGTAAAAGTTCTCGTATAATGTAACCGATGATATTTTGCTTTACACTATCAGATATTTTAAAATGTAATCCTAGTATTTCCACTACTATTTGTAGCAGATTCGATCTGAATTGCAATGAATGAGTCTTAGAAATGGCATAATATCCTAGAAGTTATAGTAATTTTAAAACCATGTTGGATTGAAACATATGCCACATTTCATCATGTTTGCATACTTTATGGGGAGTGGTATACTGTACAGTAGTGTACTATGGCTTCTTTTAGTGCAATTTAGGTTAATACATTACACTGTACAGCATAATCTTTGAAGGGAAGATGTAGATAGTGAGTAATGGGCGATATATACTTCAATCTAAAATGCATAGTACAAAATGATACTATGGAAGGCAGAATTGATAAAGTTATTCAGTACTCCAATGGTACCGTTACAACAAAAATACTTAGCTGGCTATCCATTATAACAAGGTTTAAAAGCAAATCGATAAAGAAGTGCCTCTTGTCAATTTGTATCGATAAAACTAGTACATTGTGTAAGGAAGCATATAATTTCCTTTCAGTAATGGAAGACTGCAACCAACTTCATAGTATTGTTGGTATATGATATAAACCACAACTCCTATCTAGAGCAATTTAAATAGTAATCCAGTTACATAATATAAGTAAAATAATGGATGTGAACAAATTGCTCGTGTACCGGATACACTATATTATATGAAGTTTATTGTATGACTTGTAGACGTTTGTATGGGTGATCTGATGTAGATAGAGGCTTCAAAAGCAAATGCTAATGCTGTGGTAGGTGTATTTACGTTCGGATAGTTAAGTTAATGTGGATGTAAAGTAATATCATTGAATAAGAGACTTTTATAATCATCCTTTTATGATAAAATGATATTATCCATAGATTTAAGTGAAAAGCTGCCCAAGTATACGACCTAACTTATCCAAGCAATGTCAATCATGATTGACTGTATGATTTTGGATTGAATGAGCAAAGTGATCTCTTGTAGCATAGCATAAAATAAGCCAGGCCGTCGATTGATTGGATTCATTAGCAGCAGTACTACCATTCTGATTGTACCGTCAATTGTGGCACCCTTCCATTGGAAAGAATGCAATCGAATTTTTAATTTAAAGCATCTACTTTTGTTAGTGATAAAGTAGAGTAGTAATAGAATGCTCAAGTTAATCCATTCCTATCTACAATATCTTGAAGGCGTCACGTTGGCAAAATGGACAGTATCGGTCGTCCATTGGTAAGATTTCAAGGGTTCAATAGAAGTAGAGTAAAGGTACTAACATGATCGAGTACAGTACATGAGTAAGATCGCATGCAAATGTCTTGATTGATAGTTGTATCTCGATAGCTATTAAGCCCGACGGGCATTTTCATCATTACCATGTGTAAGTGATTGCACTGACAGTCCAAAGCCAACATTTAGGAAAAACTTTTTCTCCAGTTGACTAGAATGGTGTAGAATAGAGCTTATCCAATGTACTGTACAGCTATAGGATATTATTATAGGAAAATGAACGATATGCCACTATATTATTATTGATTGGTTATCCATACGGGTGGGTATTCAACTACCGATGTTAAGTTAGCGTATTCAGCAGAATGATTGAGCATATGATGGATTAATATGCAACTTTTGCAGTCTTGCCTATTGTACTGTCATTTCTTGGAATGATCCCGATGATCCCATTCGCTATGGTGGATGCACAGTGGAACCATAAGCACCCTACCATGGAAGCGATTGTATTTGATGGGAGTTCGTCGTCAGTGAATGCAAGACAACTATCCTTGCTGTCATGTCGCTGGCGGTCTACGATGCCAATCGCTATTGGCATCGTAGAGTTGTAAAATATGGGAGTAACCTATCCTATCCTATCCTACCGAATGAGAATCCTAACCCCAACTACATGAGGATCATTCAACTCTGTCTCCATTGGTCAACAAGGCTTTCAAAGATCGTCAACCAAGAATGCATTGAACCTTTCCAGTACAGTACAGTATGGTCAATGACCCACTGATGCTACCTTTGACCGAAAAAGAAATGGCTTCCATTCTACCTACCTCAGCTCCATATTGGTGATGAAATCCAACGACCATAATGTGTACGATACATGATTGATTATCACTTTGGGAAGCCATAAGTGTAAATTTCCTTCCAAAGGGATCAAAAATTAATCTTGACGTTGTTGCCAGTCGACTCCAGCCGTTGGCTCCAGAGTAATGCTGTCCAATGCCAACTTCTGACTGCGGTACAGTATGACAGCAGTTGCTGGAGATTGCTAGTCACAAAGGTTTTGAACCGCACCGGACCCAACTCAGGTCTAAATGCTACAACACTACACTGAGTCGAAGTGAACTGGATTTGTCATTAGTCCCTACAGTCACCTGTCCAGTGTCCATCCGTCCAATGCCAACTTCTGACTGCGGTAACAGTATGACAGCAGTTGCTGGAGATTGCTAGTCACAAAGGTTTTGATCCGGACCCAACTCAGGTCTAATCGCTACAACACTACACTGAGTTGAAGTGAACTGGATTTGTCATTAGTCCCTACAGTCACCTGTCCAGTGTCCATCTGTCCAATGCCAACTTTTGACTGCGGTACAGTATGACAGCAGTTGCTGGAGATTGCTAGTCACAAAGGTTTTGAACCGAACCCAACTCAGGTCTAATTGCTACAGCACTACACGTCTACACTGAGTCGAAGTGAACTGGATTTGTCATTAGTCCCTACAGTCACCTGTCCAGTGTCCATCCGTCCAATGCCAACTTCTGACTGCGGTAACAGTATGACAGCAGTTGCTGGAGATTGCTAGTCACAAAGGTTTTGAACCGGACCCAACTCAGGTCTAATCGCTACAGCACTACACTGAGTCGAAGTGAACTGGATTTGTCATTAGTCCCTACAGTCACCTGTTCAATGTCTATCTGTCCGATGCCAACTTCTGACTGCGGTACAGTATGACAGTGGTTGCTGTAGATTGCTAGTCATAAAGGTTTCGAACCGGACCCAACTCAGGTCGAATTGCTACAACACTACACTGAGTCGAAGTGAACTGGATTTGTCACCGGTCCCTACAGTCACCAGTCCAGTGTCCATCTGTCCAATGCCAACTTCTGACTGCGGTACAGTACAGTATGATAGTGGTTGCTGTAGATTGCTAGTCAGAAAGGTTTTGAACCGCACCGGACCCAACTCAGGTCTAAATGCTACAACACTACACTGAGTCGAAGTGAGCTGCATTTGTCACTAGTCCCTACAGTCACCTGCCCAATGTCCATCTGTCCGATGCCAACTTCTGACTGCGGTACAGTATGATAGTGGTTGCTGTAGATTGCTAGTCACAAAGGTTTTGAACCGAACCGAACCAAACTCAGGTCTAATCGCTACAGCACTACACGTCTACACTGAGTCGAAGTGAACTGGATTTTGTCACTGGTCCCTCAGTCACCTGTCCAGTGTCCATTTGTCCAATGCCAACTTTTCTTTTAACTGCGGTACAGTATGACAGTGGTTGCTGTAGATTGCTAGTCACAAAGGTTTTGAACCGCACCGGACCCAACTCAGGTCTAATCGCTACAGCACTACACTGAGTCGAAGTGAACTGGATTTTGTCACCGGTCCCTACAGTCACCAGTCCAATGTCCATCTGTCCAATGCCAACTTCTGACTGCGGTACAGTATGACAGTGGTTGCTGTAGATCGCTAGTCACAAAGGTTTTGAATCGAACCCAACTCAGGTCGAATTGCTACAACACTACACTGAGTTGAAGTGAACTGGATTTGTCATTAGTCCCTACAGTCACCTGTCCAGTGTCCATCTGTCCAGTGCCAACTTCTGACTGCGGTACAGTATGACAGCAGTTGCTATAGATTGCTAGTCTAGATCATAAAGATTTTGAACCGAACCGAACTTAGGTCTAATTGCTACAAGACTACACTGGGTCGAAGCGAACTGTATCTTGTCCCGAGTCCCTACAGTCACCTACTGACTACTGTACTGTATGCGCGTCACTCGAAGGTCCCTTTCCTTCCTTTGTACCAGAAGAAGTACCGCTTGGACAGACGGAACGACACCGAGCGATTGTGTGCAGTACGGTACTTCAGACAGCAGTGGGCTGTACTGTAGTTTGTACTACTGTATTTGTACTCCAGTATTGTACAGTACACTACTAGAAGAAGACTTGGACTGGGGGCTGATCACTCTTGGATGGACAGACATTACCGTCAAAATAGTGTGTCAAACTCTTGGTTATGACATTGCTTTTAGTATGCTATACTGTAACTGTATATAGCTTGACATAGAGATGGTCAACTTTGAATGGACTGATTTTTTCGAAATGAAGTAGTACGTATGACGCTAAATCTTATTCTCTGTTACTCAATTCCGCTCGGAGATAGTTCTATAAGACGGTTCATGCTATTAAAATGAGTACCAGTGATTTGGAAAACAGACGCGGAAGATCCATACCACAGTAGGTAGTTATTTTTCCAGATTGATAGGCTCCTTTGCTCAGAAAAGTCCGTCTGTCTGAGCGGCTGAGTCGTCTTTTTGCCTCGTCCATGATGTCCAGTCCAGTGTACTGTACATCATGTTCATACTGTCTGACCGGTATTACTGAAACCGCTGTACAGGACACTACTGTGCTGTATTCAAATACTTATTTTTCCAGATTGATAGGCTTCTTTGCAAAGAAAAGTCCGTCTGTCTGAGCGGCCGAGTCGTCTTTTTGCCTCGTCCATGATGTCCAGTCCAGTGTACTGTACATCATGTTCATACTGTCTGACCGGTATTACTGAAACCGCTGTACAATGATTGTACTGTACACTATACTGTACTGTACACTATACAGTACAGTATGCAAAGGAAAGTCCGCCTGTCCGAGCGAGTGAGTCGCCTTTTTGCCTAGTCCAAGATTGTACTGTACAACTGTATACAGTATAGTACTGTCTGACCGGCATTACTGAAACCGCTGTACAGGACAGTACTGTACTGTATTCCAATACTCATTTTTCCAGATTGATAGGCTCCTTCGCTCAGAAAAATCCGCCTGTCCGACCGGGCGAGTCGTCTTTTTGCCTAGTCCATGATGTCCTGTCCAGTCTACATCATGTTCATACTGTCTGACCGGTATTACTGAAACCGCTGTACAGGACAGTACTGTACTCTACTCAAAATCTCAAATACTCATTTTTCCAGATTGATAGGCTCCATTGCAAAGAAAAGTCCGTCTGTCTGAGCGAGTGAGTCGTCTTTTTGTCTCGTCCAGTGTACTGTACATCATGTTCATACTGTCTGACCGGTATTACTGAAACCGCTGTACAGGATAGTACTGTACTCTATTGCAAAAAGACTACCATGAACTTTGTTCCAAGCTCTCGATGGCGTCCGTCAGTGCCAACGAGGTCAATCACACTCACGCGTCAGTGCGTCGATCCGTGTAGTGTTATATACAGTACAACAAGAAAGCGACAGTCTGCCAAATCCGCTGCCAAGCATGACAGCACAGTCAATGGAGCGTACTGGACGGAACGAATGCGTAGGTATACCATGGGTGATTGGACTGCAGTCTCAGTGGCATCGTTGCTTTGGCATGCTGCAACGTTGATGCAATCATGGCTGTCCCTCGATCCTTGTTCATTTTGATATCCTTCTTGCTGTTGATTAATTTGTCTTCGATCATCGCCCAAGGTGACAGTGGTGCTCCTACTCCCAGTGATGATGATGAGGAATTTTCAGAATTTATTCATGACGAGGATGAATTTCCAGAACGTGAAGAAACTGCTACAACGGAGGAAGGTAAAACCATACTGATTGATTGACCATGTGTAGCAACGTGCAGATTATCAACGGCGCTATTGCTATCGCCATGTTCAGCTTGATTTTCAATGCAGAGCCAATCATTGCTGCCGTTTCATGCCCAATAGAAATTCCTCTACAATTTCATTCTACTCTCTTCGTATACTGTAGTCAATGAGTTATTCGTTTGTGCAACAGAATGGCGTTCGCATCGTCTAGACAAAGTGCTAAATGCGATGCAGCCAGCATACATGGACAATCAAAATACAACATTGCAGTCGTTTGGGCATGATCCAATAGCGACGTAGGCACCCAATGACATGATTGAAATTGATGGTAAACCCTCAATATTGCAGCCATTGCTGCTTTTACAATGGGTTAACGAATGGTAATGATCACTCCATTCCAACTGTTCTAGCGTATTGTACAAGACAAACAAACGATGCCCTACATTGCAGCTAGACATAGCACAAAAGAAAAAAAATCTTCAATGTTTCAGACCCCTCTGTTGCTACAACCTCCAGTAAAAACATGTCCATCGTCATCATGGTAACCATAATCATTTCTACATACCAGTATAATACGTTTGTGCAACCAGTATGCGGATCGATCCACCTTAGGAATCCAATATCAACTCAGAATTGAAAAAAGTGTACGCACTGACTGCCACTGAGTACACATTCAAGGCCAACTTGAAGTTTACAACGAGGCAATTTTACTTGCAAATAAAAATAAAAATTTAAACCTAATGATTATACCGTAGTCGCGGTTGTACTCTACTAGACAAGTGGACATGACTTGCATCTTTCGACGTAGTATAGACTGATTATAATGATATACGATCCAAAATTGAAATTCTCAACCAACGCATTGGGGTGCTACAGTATACGCTTACATAGCATGAATGGATTGTCTATTACAATTAGGACACCTTTCCATAAGCCATCTTCATCGACACCGTTTTTTACATGGTGATAACTGGTGATAACCTACGCGTAGAAAATGCTTTCAAAATAATCTTGTCAATACTCGATACTATACAGAAAGGCGTTGTATACGCTAACAATATAAATGAATATCTCGCTAAATAGCTGCATTCTTCTTCCTACAAAAAAACATCACTTTAATGCCACATTATCATAAACTTACGTAATGACAGACTAAGCTTTATCAATGAAAACGTATCATAAACTAGTCAACAACATGGCGCTGTTGCGTCATGAAACGATAATAAGAATGGGATCAAACGTTTAGTGAGCGGATGCTACGACCTTACATTCTTGGATATGTCATCACTCTGAAATAATCCAGAATACCAGTCAGTCGTATTATGAGGCGATAATACGCTGTCCATGACAGTTTTCTGCCATTCTAATATCCTCAATACTGCTCAATGGGTATTTCAAAATGTTAGCTACGACACTGTAATTATAAATGTTTTTATTTCTTACCATCTTCCTACATATAGACACTAGCAGCGACTTCGAAGATACTGATACTACCATAGAGGTAACGTTCTTTATACTTAAGCGTACTTTTGTATTTGCCTACCTTTCTACCGTTATACTATTTTGATGTAATGTAGTTGCTAGTTCAATAAACATCATTCGTCTACTTAATACAATTTTAGAGGTAGCATTAATCTATTTACGTGAAGTGCTCTCTTTAACCTTATTATCATTGCCATTGTCGTATATTAATTGAATCACAAAGGTTTTTATTACAGTAATCAAAATTTGCATGTTATTAGAGTGACGATGAAGAATTCTTAAAAGACGAAGAGGAATTCGAGGTAAATCTTTTAAATTCCGTATTTGATATTGTAGTAGAGTAAATGATAACGTCAATTTACTCGTACCTATATATGCAAGATCTCGTCATAGGCATCTCCCTATAAATATCATTAAGGACGTTTAGAGTATTGAATAGAAACTCACTTTACGTTTATGGTAATTGTAGTCGTCAAAGAGCTAAAAGGCTATTCAGAAAATAAGTGATTACTATTATGACACAATAATCAATACGAGTATAACAGTAGAGATACCATAGTTAGCATCATTTTACTATCAGGCAAAAAATTATTATCTACTTCACTATTCGATTTTAATGAATTGTCCACGTTGTTATCAGTAGACATATAAGAACCTGTAGTGTTAAAAATATTTTACTATTTCTATGTACAAATGTTGAATTTAGATCCCTTAATAAAATATAAAATTAAAAGGCCCTCCCGAATAATAATTTTTAATTTCATCTATGGTATTTAGGGTATTGGCGAGAAACCAACTAGATCAAAATCGCAGCAGCCTCAATTACAATATGCCGAGGTTCGCTTAAAATACAAATCTTTTTAACAAATAAGAGTATCCTTAACCATGAAATACTAAGACTGTTTGGTGTACAGTTCACTCTTTATTTGTTCTATAACGTTTGATTATACTCATTTGATGTTGATATTCTTTATGCTTACTTACATCGCACACCTTGATCTCTCAATTGGCAGGTACCTGTACATTTAGCGAGTAAAGGATGGGAAGCCTTTTCCAGTGAAATAATGATTATTTGTGGACTGGTGGTGTATGCAATTAATTTCTTTGCTGGAAGATCAACCAACTCCCGACTAGCATATGCATGGTAACATTGAAATCATTAGATCTAATCTTCACCATTGACTTACAGTCGTAAGTACGTAGATAATTACCGAATATGACATGTGATTTCAGGTACGAATCAGCGAGACAATTGCTGGAATCCAACTTTGCTGTTGTAGGTACGCTAAAACCAGCAAAATAAACCATGTCGCTACGCTTTTACTGGAATCATTTCCAATACCAAGCAACGGAATGTGACTAAAGTATTAATATACCGTAATGCTATGAAATTTTAGGAGATGACGGTACCGGAAAGGAAGTTCAACATGGTGTCCTTATAAAAGATAGTGAAAGTATTTATAGCTTGTGGTGTACTGGAAAACTGGGATGTAAAGGGATGCTGGTACAGATAAAAGTAAGCACTAAACCGTAACGATACCTCCGTGGACTCGACAATAATACTTTCACTTTTATTTCCGTTATAGCTAAAGAAACGACACGATTTAATTGGTGTCATGTCTTCTATTCTCAAACCGAAGACAGACCGAATTGTAAATTACCTTAAATAAATCAATCTGCAATACGCTAGATCATTTTTAACTTATTATTGATCATAAAATGTATTGTTGATATACGTATTGGATACTTGTCTACTTTCTTTAGGTTATAACAGTAGAAATGTTGGAAGAGGATATGGATTCATTCGTGTTTGCTGTTGTTCCTAAAAAAAATGTTGCAAAATTACAGAAGGACCTACAAGATCTAGTAATATTATTATGCACAACTCACATTATAAATATAATTAATGTATTCTAGATATACTTTACGCAAACAGTAAAAAATATTCAAATTTATTTGGTTTAGAGTTTCTTCTGCCCGGATAAACGTTCAGGAGAAAAGTATGGATTATCAAATTCTTATGCTATCTTATCAGAATTCCCTGAAATTGCTGAAACGATGCTAACCCAGCAGGTACGATACCATACTGCAAACTGTATCGAGTTTATTTTACATACTCAGAATTAAAGTCAAATTCAAGCATTTGTTAAACGTTTCCTGTTGGTTATAAGGTGGTCAAGACGATCAATAGTTTCAGCGAAATATTCGAATCCCTACACTTCTCCGATCAGTATGTCGAACCAAAGGATCCCAAGTTAGTACATAATGTTCATCACCTACTTAGTTAATCTCTAACGTTTACTAAGTCGGTTATCACAATCTTTAGTGAAGAAAAAGATGATAAAAGTGTGGTTCAAATCTCCAAGAAAGTGTTAATGTTTACTTTAATACGTAAGCTGAAAATTATTTTTAATCCTATGGATTGTTTTCTTGGAATTTTATTTTAATATAATATTCGATCCTGTACAGCTCAAAAAAAGGGTACCAGCACAGTACGGATAATGTCCTCCCTCGAACCCGTACTGAAAATGATTTTGTTCTATATTGACCGCGTCAGAAAGTGTAAATTAGGAAAAGATGTAAGATTACTTTGAACTCTTCAAAAGTTGATGTTTTGCCTCATGTGACACTTTTATCATAATTGTCATGATTGAATTTAGGCCAAGCAAAAAGCTCAAGTGCGACGTGCTAAATTACAAGAAACCTACTTGAAGCAATCTCATGCACAAAGACAAGAGGTACCACTAGCAAATATAACTTCCTTTCATTACCTTTTACCGCGTTAAGTAAACCTTGTCTTGTGCTTAACAATTTGTTACGAATCGTGTAATTACTACTTGTAAGGGGGTATTGATATATCAGCCAAACTAAACAACTTTAATACCGTTAATATAGGCCGCGCAACAGCGTCGTGAAGAAAAAGCGAAAGCGGACAAGGAAAAGTTATTAGCCGAGGAAGATCCAGACAAAGTTCGAAAATTACAGGTAATTATATTTTAAAGCATAACATGCACTGTTGAACATAATTACCTTTATGGCATTAACGACATCTGATTCTTGCGCTGAAAACTTTAGGAAAAAGAATATAAAAAGCAGTTAAAGAAGAAGAATCCAAAAATGAAACAGATGGTCGTACGTGGTTTTTAATAACGTGGTTTTCAATGTCTTAAAATTTGAACTAATATTTTTATGCAACCACGAAATAACAATGCATCTTGGTTCCAAAATTGAAGTTTTAATGTGAAATTTATATAGGGATTTTAATGTATTCATTTATCAAGTTTGCCACTTCTTATGTATTTGTAGACATTGTATCGAGGAATGTACTGTACACAAAATTGCGCTTTAACGACCAACGAAACTCTGTAATCTTTTGTCCACAATTGGACATCGACTTTCGTATAAAACGGTGCTCCTATTCTAATTTAAATCCATTTTCACGCCTTGATTTGATCGTATAGTTTTTGATAAAAATTTCAAGAGGCATCTTGCTGATACTTCTTATGCCGGTGTTATCCTAGCTTTCGTCATAGATCATATTCTAAATTAATCTCTCATTTACTGAACATCTTCTTCTAAGCAATAAGCAAATAAATTTCCTGCCAGTATATCCGTTAAAATTACAAAATTTAGTGTTTTTTAGCATAACCAGGTTATTTGATAAGAACGTTATATCTACACAATTCTTTTTATAATGCAACTGACAACACTGTAAATTTGTAAGTTACATTGTAAATAAGAGAATAACGAAATAAGCCTACACTAAAAAATTATAATTTAAAATAAGTTTCAGGGTAATTTGCATTCCGTTAATGTTTCGAATGAGTCGTGGGCTAGCCGAGCGATTTTATTTAACTATCCCAACATTGCCTTGTAATGTATTAAGTTTGAGTGAGCGGCAATGAAGGATGGAAAGAATTTCTGCCGAGTAAATGTATGTGCGCTACTCTAAACGACCATTTTATACCCATATTCGTTCATAAATCAAGAAATGAAATCCAGTGTAATAAAAAACGGTAAGTGAAAATTAGTCTTAAAATTTAGTTGATGAAAAGTTTCTTAAATCTACAGTCAAAAAGTTTACGTAGGGATATAAACAATAAATTACTTTACTCTCATATTAATCATAAATATAAGGTAAAATAAACGAATTATTACTTTTCTTTTAATACAATACAAGTATACAAGTAACCTAATATTAATTATTAGAGCTATGACTAGGTTAGACGTAAAGTTTTGCATTAAATTTCAAGAAAAAAATTCATATCGTAATCTGATCAGTTAATGAGTATCATTCAAACAGTAAAACTGTCTTGCAACATGTGCAATTCTCGCAAGAAATCTCCCTTTTATCAAGGATAAACAAACTATAAAAAATATCCGTCAATACGTGCACAGTGCAGTATATTAAAAGGCATATCTAAGCTGGTAGAATTCATGCTTTTCACCCTATTGCATAATATTCTACAACTGTCATAGACTGTTTTTAATGAAATATCGCACCAATGTGGAGATAAAAATATAATATTTGTATTAGCAGGAGTCCACAATAAATAAACGGATAACGAGACCTACATAAAGTGCGATGCTTTATTAGAACTTACACAGATGCGGTCAGCTATAAATATAATATCATGATATCCTAGAATTCTTTAATATCTTATTGCGATATACAGATACGGGTATATCGTATATATTCAATAACTGCCTCAGAAGATTTTACAAGGGTATGAAAGCACGAACATCTACTAATTCTATATCTCATACTTTAGAAATTACTCGGCTGTTTATATAGTACTACAGTACAGGATTTTGTAGTATAATTATACCAATTATTTATAAGCATAAAGATAAAATGTACAGTATATAATTTCGATGAAGAAGCCCAAATATCATACACTTATAAGACTATCACGTTGCACCTAGCACCGAATAATAGTATAATATCGATGGGATTGAAACTGGAGATATATCGCACTTGATAAGGAGAACATGGCGATAAAGTACTTTCGTAGTATATCTACATGGTACCATGCCGATATATACGTGTTAACATACGCATAAATAACAATAACCATCTGGAAGGCATATTAAGTATTCTATGCATAAAACTGACTTAAATACGATTTGCCAGTTATTATTGTACATTACTTTCGAAGTTATCAACTATTATATCTAAGACTTTACCGTTACATTATGAAAATTGTAATACAAATCTTTCAAAGGGCCGAACTTCTAATATACGGACAGAAATTACGATAATTGAGAAATTATATGTAATTATGACTAATTTCATTATATCAGTAGCAATGTAATCCTTGATACCTAGGTATAACCCCTTTCCTTTTTTGGATACTCATTCTGGATAATGGAGACTATAGTAGAGTATCTGAAAGAATACTGTAATGTATCAAGAATTTTAATTTCTTGTTAACTTCATTTTCTTACAATAAACTAGTCCGTTTCTAAGAACCACCTACATCTAACTCTACAGTAACAATACAATCTCACAATCTAACCTATGAAGATTGTCTTCTTCATCGTTCCAAATAATCCGTTATAGATGATCAAGCTCTAGCTCCTAACAAAGGCATATATCTTATAATGGACAACAAGAAATGGACTTAGTTTAGAAATGCTCTTGATCTTCACTTTCATGCCTATCTCTTTTATCAATGTATTCATAACACTAATTAATGAATAATGTGATGGCTAGTTACGAACATTAGCATCATTAACTACCTTATCATTCCTATTTAAAGAAATATTAAAAAATAGGGCAAAAGAATTATTAATCGATAGATTAATTCTCTCTCTTAATCCAAGCATTAAGGCCCATCTAAAGGAATATCTTGAATCAAGTACTATGGCATTGATATCATTTTCTATAGCTTTCAATCAATCACTATTAAAAATAGCAACTTTTAATCGCATTTTTTTATTAATGTAATTCATAATGAATTAATAGACAAGGTTACGGTACGCTAGTCATACTTTTTTACCCTCAGTTACTTTTGAAAAGACTGGCCATGCGATATTATGATATCTTTTGTTTATGTAAATATTCAAGTTTTCTATTTTGTGTGTAAACGATATACAATCAATAGATGTTATGCGAACGTATACAATGCAAAAGTTTACTAGCCCAACTTAAGTCTCCATCATATCTACCTTAAATTTGTATCGTATCGTTTCTAAAAATCATGCATACCACCAGCCAGTAAAAGATCTTTCTGGTACATTACTTGGCGGACTAAGGGCCGACATATTATTCTAATTTTTACGTCATTCAGTTATAAATCACTATCGGTACGCGATTGATCGAAGCGTTATCGACAACTTATGTAAATATTGTTTACACTTAATTAAATTTTAATCAAAGTTTTCATAAGGTTTAATAGCGTAGCGTCTTAATCTTAATGATTATGTACTCGTAAATGGGTGTATCTGCGTCCTATCGGTAAATCATGCCATTTTTAAAGTAATACCGTAACTAGAAAATTCTATAAGTACAAATAAGGCAAAGATTTCCCATTTCTTTGATAAATACTGTAAATTGTTTCACAATCGATGTTTCGGCACATCAGAGTGCAATGGAAGCCAAATGATTGGACCATACTAACACGGAATAGACAAGCGATGTAATTAAAAAAGATGGATCGCAAACATTTACAAGAACTTATAAATCAAATTTAATGGCGGTTAAGTTAATACTGCTAGTGGCTAATCGATTAAAACCAGTTAAAAATTCTAGCGTAACGGGAAATATTATAAAATTATCCTATTTTAAATAATAAAATGTTTTTTATTATTTATACAAAATTGAATAATTTGGTGGAGGACAGATTGCTGCTAGAAAGTACGGTAACTAATGCCAGTGGGCTATCGATTTGCTCATCACGTAACGCAAACTTTAAATTTAGATTTTAACCTACACCTATTGAAAAGCTGTATTGATTTAATTCTAATAATATCACTGATAACTACTAGTATAGAATTAAGGAATTTCTAGAATGACCTTTTATTTACCGGCCAATGCAATCTGCCTGCCACATGTAATTTCTGCTATTTTTAGCTCAATGATTCTACTAGATCATTACTTGTTATATAGAAGTATTGAAATTTAAAATCCAACAGTTAACAGATTGAAGGAAATTATACGCATATGCGTAACTTTTATTGATTGATTTAGTTCTAACAATTACGAAAATAATCCCGCTGATAATATCTCACATATATAATATCGCACTATTTTATCACGAGATGGTTGTTGTCTTAACAATACTATCTAAATACAGAATTATCCATAATTCATTGCTTGCATTCATCTAGCGACCAATAATTAAATATGCACCCATTACATTGAACTTTACCGCTTAACTTGACTGGTAGAAAATAAAAAAACATATTTACCGTAATTATTTTATCCTTCTAAAAACAATGCATCCTCTGTCATACTATATATATAGACTTTGAATTGCATTATTATTTATAATTAATTAGTTCAGTTATCACAATATCTGGCAACTTTGCTTTCTTCAGATCGTTTAAAAAATTTCTGCTACTATCGTAATTTTTTCGAAATTATGTCGTCGCTACAAGCCTGGATTGTGTTGGTGATAGCATGTTGGTCAACTTGGCAAGCTAACTTAGTTATTGCAGGAGTTATTCAGTCAAATTTACAAACATTACCAGATCATCGAGAGAAATGGGCAAATGTTGCCTACAACTACATCTATTCTATCCAATGTCAGATGTTAATGAGCCATCGAAACTGTCGTAAATTTCGAGTCACCAAAAGATCTGATATGAACATTTATTTGGCATATCATCAAGGAAACTCCAGTTATCCAGAAAAATATCGTCTTGTATTGCCTCGTAAGCAGTATGAGAGTCAGAAATATTTGAATGATGCCATTATTGTCATCGATCCGTTTCCTAAGCTTTCCTTTGGTCATCGACTGTTCATATTTGCTATACACGGAAATTTGGGTCAAGTAGAATGTCGAGCTCGTCATGGCCAATACATTGGTATTGGCAATCATAGTGATTATTTAAAAAGAAGGATCTTCTACTTGACAGTGGCGTAATAAGCATAGGCGTATATAACCTTTGAAAATTGATCAAATTAAGCTTTTGATGTACAGTACAGTACATTTGTTAGGATAGATCATAAGCTATCGTAGACTGATAAAAAAAAAACCAGATACTTGGAATTCGAGTTAACAGTCAATTATAAATTTATCCTAGTCAAGCATGATGTAAACCTGGAAAAGGACAAGTACAATGTTATTGCTAATTCCGCCTACAAGTAATCAATGTATCGTAGTCGTAATGTCTATATACAGTATATATATATACATTGATCAAAATATCACCCTGGCAGCATATACGTAGAGTATTGCACGTATTAGTACTTTTTAACATTGCCTTTGAAGTCATAGCGGTCCAATTTCAACGCTATTTTTGACTAATGAGATTGCAAAGCGATTACTGTAAAAGCTCAACCACTACTAACTAGCTTGATCGACGATATTTAGTCGCCTTGAACTATTTTCACGCTCATTTTTTAAATTGTCTAATTTGACTTTGACATTTGAATTTGCTTTGTTTGTTAATGACAGTTCTGCAAACATATTCATTGAGTAGATAGAAAATTGTGCATCACTTGTTGGCAACGATTCAATTTTCACTTTATTCTCCTATGATTCAAATTGTAATGTAGGCAACAAAGAATGTTTAATTATGATTACCAAGAGCGAATGCCCTAACGAAAGAGAAAGCTATAAAGATTATAAACGACGTTGCGATACGGACATTTTGCCGCTGGTTTATTACGCCAACGACTTATATACTAGTCAACAATTATTGTGTTACAGTAATTTTTCTGGATTTGGTCAGTGTCGTGAAGTAGCACTAAGAGACGCTATTCCTACTCCTAAAGATTGCCAGAATTCGGGTACATGTCATTTAGGGAGAGCGTCTATTCAAGCTCAACGAACATTAGAATGTCCGAGGCAATATAATCCAACGGAGAACTATGCCATTCTATTATCGTCGGGATGGAATGATCAAACACTCTCCGTTCATGCCGAATCGAATGTAAGACGCATGTGGCAAGCACTGACTCGAGTTCATCGCTATCCTGTGAATCATGTACAGACATTTTTTGGCCATTATGGAGTCATTGATTGTAAGTACAGCATATTCACATCAACGTGACCACTGACCATACTTTCTGTTATGATCAAGCATTGTATCGTCTTAGTTCCAATGTGTTTTAGAACTATGCAGCAACTGCTATCCTTTTCTTGCTTTCAAACCCTATAGACACTGGTATTTTTCAATCTACAATAGACTCCGTCGATAGAACAGGAGTAGCATAGTCTATCGATCCCTTCTCTTTGCATCCAAAATATGCAGCAACTGCTATCCTTTTCTTGCTTTCAAACCTTATAGACACTGGTAATTTTCAATCTACAATAGACTCCGTCGATAGAACAGGAGTAGCATAGTCTATCGATCCCTTCTCTTTGCATCCAACACCTCAAAATACGAACGATCATAAGCTGATTCGATCCAATTATTCCAAGGTTTCATTTGAACAATTTAGCCTGAATAAGATTAAGGGAAAATTGGGGTTGCAAGTTTGTCCCAATCGAGCATTGCTTTGAGTGATCAAGGATCAATTTCAAGGCACCTGCTGTAGCCATAAAAAAAAAGAATAAAAAAGTAAGGAGAACCGCTATGGCTGTAGCGTATACGAGTGGTTCAATTGACGTGCCTGCAACGATCCCGATTGGAGTGACGCCTGAAAAATGCGTATTGACACCGATCGGCTGTGAGTCATTGATGACGAATGACCTTTTGTGTGGAGAAGCGTAGGATAAAACATCAGTGACCGATATACAATGTAGTGGAGTGAATTGCATCTGCGATTGAAGTTTGGTGAGTCATGGGTGACAAGGATAGATGAATGACTTGACAGATGTGAAGTTGTTTTACCTCTGATAACATTGATAACTGAATCGTCGTCCATTGACAAGATTGATTAGCATTCACGTCAACGTGATATCATCCAACAACATGTTGAGAAACGTCATTCAGTCACAAGTCATCACCAGTGCTTCATTCAGCCATGGATTACTAAAAAAAAAAAAGACCTACAACCCACGCGTCTAGTGGTTGCCTTAGCGCATCATTCATTGCCTCAACTTGAATGAAGCAAGACTAGAATTGTCATGCAACAGACGTGATCTAAAATAATATAATACTGTACTATTGAATTTCAGGTATCTAGTTTCCAAAGGTCCATCAGAGAGGACGCACTATTCCCATGTGACAGACGCGATCAAGAGAATGTTGTACCGTACAGTATGTCTAAGTTTGATCATCATCCTCCTCCTCCTACACTATCTTGCGACGTCAAATGCCAACCAATAACACCCTATCGGATAACATGCTAATCCACCAATAGAATATTGGATAGCATCACTATCTCTGTGTTGTATCACGTTATCGTCAGCCTACACGTCATTTCACAAATCATTCTTCTGTTGCGCTTCAACCATTTTCCAACCACAAAACAACTACCGGTTGTTTGTCACCCAAACTCCATGTGGTCAGCTATTCAATGACAATCATCCCATGTTTGCGATATTATTCGTATCGTATGCATGGGCTAATGTCTATCAAGGCCAAAGGGATAAATTACTTTCAAGAAAAACAGCCAATTACGTCTCAATATCCCGCCAATTGCTAATTTGATTGATGTTAATTCCATGTTTGCGATATTATTCGTATCTTATACATGGCCTAATGTCTATCAAGGCTAAATGAGTAGATTACTTTCAAGAAAAACAGCCAATTACGACCCAATATCTCGCCAATTGCTAATTTGATGGATGTTAATCCCATGTTTGCGATAGTGTGCGTATCGTATGCATGGGCTAATGTCTATCAAGGCCAAGGGATGAGTTGCTTTCAAGAAAAACACCCAATTACATCTCAATATCTCGCCAATTGCTAGTTTGATTGATGTTAATCCCATGTTTGCGATATTGTTCGTATCCGTGCATGTCTATCAAGGCCAAATGGATAAATTACTTTAAGAAAAACACCCAATTACGTCTCATTATCTCGCCATTTGCTAATTTGATGGATGCTAATCCCATGTTTGCGATAGTGTGTGTATCTTATGCATGGGCTAATGTCTATCAAGGCCAAAGGGATAAATTACTTTCCAGAAAAATACCCAATTACGTCTCGTTATCTCGCCATTTGCTAATTTGATGGATGCTATTTCAAATGAAGAAATAGACGTACGCGTACAATATAAAACTAACTAGATGTTCCAATAACCAACGGCTATTGGATCTTTGATTAATAGGACAATGATATTACCGATGTTTTTCTTAGCGCATGTTGATATACTCGTATATTAGATCATATAAGCTGTATCACTGGTGATTTTGTAATCTGTTGGCCAGTCAATATTTTCTACCTACAACTCCTAGGATACAACAGGAATTGGCGATAGTGTTAGCTATAAAATTTTCGAAATAACCATGCATCACAGGCTATACAACAAAGGTCGTGATGAAGACTATCGGCTATACTGCAGTAATGAACTGGAAATAACGTCTCTTCATTAGCGCAATAGTGTTACAATGTTTTTGCTATTAGCAACCAAAATAACTACAGTCAACACAATATTAAATTGACTTTAATCGATCGCCTATTCAATCAATACTAATTAGAATTAGAGAACAATCCAAATAGTTTACTGACGGATTACGTATACAATAGTAAAGATGAAATCAGTCAATATCAAACATACTGTACTCTACAGTACTACGTAAATCGGCCTTCATTTTTGTTTATTATTTGCTAATCTATGCGAGAAGATAATAAAGTCAATTATATAGCCAATCTGATCATACTGAGAAGATCCCACACGCTGTTTTTCAATAAGCTTAATTGAATAGAACAAGGACCATCGGAAATACGTGATACCTTCTACTAAAGATAGGGCAATATCTTGGACTATCTTTGCATTGGGAATATTTTACTGGCAAAGTAATCCCCTATTCCGCCTATAGACTGATTCATGAATTCACCCATGACAGTACTGTACTGTAAATAGCTCAAAAAGAAGCTGATCATAACCGCAGCCTATGCTTGATGATATCATTGTACGTATAATTAATGAACCAATGAAGGGTTGACATAGAACTTTTCAACCCACTCCGCATATTAAAAATTGGACAAGTTATTTGCAAACTTGGAAATCTCCCCATAGATCGCAACTGTAGGCATATAAATAAGTATAGCATAATCGAAGTCATTCTGTAGAACTTACCAGTATCCGTAATTCAACCAATTTCATATCCGTTATAATAATGATTTACTAAATCGCGTCGTTGATTCACATGTTTACGATAGATAGCTGTTGCGTTACCTCTTAATAGTTTATTAGGATCATAACCCTAACACTGAAAATAACGATAGCGACGGAGTTATTAACCTAGATAAATTTTGATATCATTAATTCGACAGAATCTCTAAAACTACTATTGCAGTATTTCACTTATGGCAGTCCTGTCATGTAAATAAGTTACCTGCATAGACCCTTTTGTTTCTTTTTCAAGGATTCTTCACAACGCTATTTTCCTAATTGATTGATACAATATATGAATTTTAGATCAAAAATAACTCAAAGCGTAGTAATATCTATTAATAATGTGTACATGCCTAACATAATTATATATTCCTGTCTATTTAACCAGTAAACGGTGATGGCAATCATATAGACACTGCAAGACCTGCTAATCGCGATGTATTTGTTAAAGATGCGATTAAAAGACTCTGCCAATTTTGCAATGTCTACACACTATTCATTTACATGAACAGTCCAACCATGAGTGATGGTTCAATATTAATGTGGGATCATGATGGACATGGTCAAGCTGAAAATTATGAACGTTATTCTCCTAGCGAAATTGTTACTTCCTTGATTCGATGCAGAAAAGCCAGATTAATTGTTTTGCTAATTGATCAAAGCTATGCCGGCATACTGGTGAAGAAAATCCGCCATGCTAAACTCGATAATGTTGCCGTCTATGCAGCCTCAGGTGTTGACGACTACAGCGATGGAAAATCTTTCACGGACCATTTCTTAAAAGCGAATGCCAGCTCGTGCATGTATAATATTTACTCGGTGAGTTTTTTCTTCACAGCTGTAGAAACTAAATATAATTTACTGCTTGTACGACTCACTCTTCCTTCATGACGCAGCAATATGCCTTCATTACCATTTTAAAATTAATAACATCTACTCTCCACGCAATGTCAACCTTTAGGCAACCCAGAAAATTATGAGATCTACTTTCTATGAACCTTTCAATGAATCTGGTAAAGTGGTTATGAGTGGCTTACCCTGCAGTAGCTATGTTAGAAATTTCTAGATTTTATAATATATGTTATTTAGGTAGGATGATTTTTAATTGCACAATGCACACCCTGTATTATTTTTCAAATGATGTAAAAGAACTAGCACAGTAATATTACTTCTATTATCGAATTTTCGATCATGCAAATATCTATTTCACATATTTTACAAAATTTCCGCTCTAATTATAGTAACAGGGTAGAGTTTTTGTAAATATAATTATGTACAGGGTACTAACATATTCAATAATTTACCGATGATCTTTCTCATTAATATGGGTGACATGATTACTTTTTAATAATTACGATTTTCTATTTGATTAATATGATTTTAAGGAACAGATTCTCGCTCCATTTATCAATTATTAATATTATTATTATTAAACAACGACACAAATGCCCAAATAAAAGTACTCTTGCCGTATTCAAGATTTATTATTACAACTCGCTTCCGGTAAAATTTTAAATAAAGTAACATGCGATGTACAGCTTACGATTTAGTTAAAATACCTGTGTTGTATATATACGAAGACGAGTGCATGTCTGCATGATATATTTATTTAGTAATGCAGTTTTTTCAATCTAGTTTTAATTTGATTCACCGTATAGCTTAAAACTATTGCGCTAAGGCAAAGCACAATAGCATTTCAGGTAAAAATCGAAACAAGCTACTAGAAACTGTCTGTATCGCCGTGCCTTGTCTGATACGTATAAATTTACCCTCGCCACATATCCCTCGTTATTAAATAAATTAAATTACAGCAGTATCATGCACAGTGAAAATTCATTGGCACATAACTATTTGTCATGAGCATTCTAACTTGCGCGCGTCCATTTATATGTATATGTTATATATGTATCCAAAACATCCTTAAATTATAGATTATGTATAATTTAATTTTGGATTGGTTTGCTTATGTAAAATAACCAATTGCTTATGAATTTTCTAAGGTAGGATGAGATAGTTGGATTCGTCACGTAATAGAAATTTTTTATACTAATTAAAAATTTGCACGTCAATATGGATAATATCACCGTTATTATTATCGCGCAAATTTACAGGTTCATAATAACTACAATTTATCTATGCCTAACTTATAGTAATAGTAGAAGACTATTACACAGTCATTACACTCTGCTTTAGTGATGTTACTTGCACTGCCCTCCGCACTAATCCAAAAGCTGGATATCCATGCGGCAAGCTTTCTTCTATGGATTGACCATTATTATATCTCTAAATTAAGTTTACCATACCATCTGCTGGTACGTCACTGCTTGAATATTAAGTCACTAAAGTTAGCGGTAAAGTAAATAAATACTGTGCGAGTAAATAATCGTAGCATCGTTATGATGCTTCTCAAGGTACAGCTTACAATTTTATGTAGAGCACGAGGTCAACGATAGATAGACGTTTTGCATTTATGAACTTTATCACAGTAAATGATTTAGTTTACTTTAGCCATCAAAGTATTTAGATGATGCTCTGTAGTTATCAAATAATTCGAACATGCCGTAAATGTACTGGTAAAATTATATTTACTATAATAAATTTTCGAGCAATAAAACCTATCGGTTCCGTAATCTGCTCCTTCAAACATTTCATCAACAATTAGTCAATTAATTTAATAACAGCCACATAATTAATTAAAATTTATTCATAGTTTTCGAAGATGCCGCATTATACTTATGACCTCATGGCAAAACAAATGCTGAATAATGTAGGAGTTAACTGAAACTTTACCATGCAGCGCAATATGCTACTTTGCCTCTTTACAAATCCATTCGCAGCTATTTCTAGCAATTTTATTTCTGTAATCAGCGGGCAATTAATCAATTATCTTCCCTGAAGTGGATATAACTCACTTCTGCATAACTAAATTAGTTAATTTTTAAGAGATAATGGCTGATTAGTAGTATCGATACTCACTTCTTGGCAATTAATCAACTTTTTCCCTCTGAAGCTATAGAACACCAGAGGAAAATATTTGTTTAACGGTAATTTTAAGATGTTTAGTACAAAGAATTTTCAAATCAATATCGATTATGCTACATTATCGTTAATGTATAAATGGAATATTGCTTATTACTGGTATATCGTAAGCTATAATTAATATAAATAGCAAGTCTGTTTTTAAAATTCTGATTTTCTGATAGTATTTATATAATATTAAAATATAATACCTTAACGCTTGCTACGTTACTAGGTAATACGAATACTGACAGCATTATTGATCAGGCCGAGCAAGTTTTGTTATTTTATTTCCCAAGCGATATTAATTAATCAATTAAATCAACTATCGGGAATATAACTAAAGTCAATATATAAACTAATTATCCAATAGTGCACTTCCCAAGATTTAAGGGTGGTACAGCATCCGAAAAACTCGGTTGGCTTGATTGACTTTCAGTAATTAGAAAAATTTTCTATAGAAGGGATAACAACTAGAATAGTACTGGTCGTAACATTAATTAAGATTAAGATAAATATTTATAATTATGATTTGGATCCTATTGGCCTTTAACCAAAAAATATCTATCTATATTAACTAATAACAATCGAACGAATGGTCTGATTTTAGAATGATAGAATTAGAGATTACGTGAAGTTGTGATTCTATATTAATTAGTAGCCATGAGCTGAGAAATATGATGTAATTAGCGTAATTGTTAATAATTTCAAATAAATACAGATGATGCAATTTAATTAATAATTAGTTGCAGTAACTTATGTATTTATGTATTTAAAACTAATTATCACTACAGGTATGAACATACGTATCAACAATAGTATTCATCCCGATTACTAGCCTTATGGTTTATCTTCTATTCTCGGTTACAGATATAGTATAGCTGATCAAAACTAATTATTTAGCCATGTTTAGAAGAGCGACTGGTGTGTTCTCTATACTGGTAAAATAATATATCAGACTATATGAAAATGTATACCGTAGAGTGAAATATTCCTAGTATACTGTACACTGATAGGTAGCAGGGTCTAAATTTCAAATGTAATGCTTTGCTTTACTAGATACAGCCTTCTTATCATGATATCTCGCGTATTGTCTTCTCATCACCAAAGAAATAAAAAATAGAACAGCCATAACCTCTATTATAATTATTAGAAACTTCGTTCATATCTTTATTAAATTATTCTTTAGTGTTTAAGAATTCGTTAATTGTAGAAACCATGAGAGACAAAAAAGCTAGATTTTAGATCTAATATTGTTCTGAGAATTTCGCCTATACTACTTTTTAGTTATTCTTAATCATGGCAAAGATAAGATAAGAAAGACGCCTCGCTTCTCCTTACTGCAGCATACTCTACGCTATTCCTAAAATCCTTTATATAATTTAGTATTCTATAGTGTTAATCTCATTATACGAGTAAGGTTAAGGTTAAAGATTGGCTACTTGTCCTTAATCAATTCTTTTATGATATTTTCTAGCGATTATTATAATTGCGAGAGTGTTTTAATTTAAGGTCATCAAGTCTAGGCAGGTGATGAGAGATTATGAACACATCAGAGAAGGAAATTTGAAGTCATGATAATATTGATTTATCATAATCGTATCAGTTGAGCATGATACTGTTGAGAACTTGATCTAAAATAGATCGTTTCTATTTGTAGCATCCTTCGAGGGAGCTAAACATTAGACATCGCATTTAAATATTAATAAAAGCCTGTACTGTACTTTATCGATGTATTCATCAAATCATTCTACTCAGTACTAGATTTGATACAACTGTTGCGGTCTGTATGAAATACGCAGTTCCTGGGACTAGCCTAAACATAACTATCGGGTAAATAAGATTTTAATAAACAATAAATCTTCTTAAATTACGGTAGCGCTTGAGTTTTTCTAATCTATCTATTTAGAATGCATTATTTGTATCACTAGCGTCCTTTGAAGGAGGCAAAACATTAGACATTACATTTAAATCTTAACAATAAAATTCTGTACATCATCGGTATATTCATCATTTCTACGTCGTATTAGCGATAGCTTAAAATCATTTAATTTTTCTTCGCTCTGTAACATTTATTGACATGATCGCTAAAACAGGATAATTTATATACAAAAAAGTCTTACGTAGGTTATTTTCGCTTGATTGAATCTTCATGAATGTATTTGTGAATGACTTAAAAGCGACATTGTTGAAAACTCACCAAGCAGCAATATAATGTATTAACTGAAGTCATTGTATGCTAATGTAAAAATACGAACAGAGTGGTCAGTACTACAGCAGCCAACTTGGAGTGTCTGATTCTCATATCCAGATTTAATCTCGCTTTTCATGTCTTTCGAAAGTGGTCTCCACCTGATCCTTTTCACCGTTAGTGAATGATTATAACTGATATACTTATTAAGGCGTCATAATCCAGTAAAATGCAAAGATAGTATACGAATAATGTAGGCGATACAGAAACTATTGAAAAGATACTTTTCGGGCAGTGAAAAACAGTTCTGCCAATGGGGCTGCACCAAATTCCACGTATAAAATTCGATTTTACCGCAATCAAGACCTATACAAAGGATGTACCTAAAAAGCGTTAAGTAAAATTGTATAATCATAGCTCTAATAATCACCAAATAGTACTGTACGGATTACGGAATAGGCCAATTATAAATTAAAAATACAAAAGGCTTATTGAAGGAGTTGTATCTGAGAGTATAACGAAATTGGAACTAACTTTCCACTTTTGCTGCATTCCGGAGCGAAATCCACTGCAGTAACTGAATCTGAAAGTTCTAATGCAACTGAAGCGGGAATCCAGGCATTGTTTTGTGATTGATGCCATATAATAACCTGAAGATGTAAGCATAAATTTAAAATGTAATGCGAATGCGCGTATCCCAGAATATTATACAAGTACTCCTTTTATATCACAATGATTAGTATGTTGTACCTTTTTATCTCTTGATGCGGTTGCAAAGTATTTATCGTCATGGGACCAAGAACAAGACCAGATAATACGTGAATGCTTACTGGTTTTGTAAGCGGCATGATAAACATTTTTACATGATATTCCTGTTTTAAGATATTACGCTTAGTTTGTTATATCTTTCTTGAGAAAAACAACAAGAAATTTTTGTCGCCTTACTATTACTCAATTTAGTAAATTGATGCAGTGACCAGCCGCGATCCCTTGATACCGATAACAACCAATCACCGTTATGTGAAAAAGCCATTTGAGTAACAGTCAAATTATGACATAATAAAGGTTCACAGGCTTGACGCCATGTCTGAGTATCCCAAATAATGATAGAAGCATGTTCGGGTTTGCGTGCCTTGTTGTCAAATTTCGACCAAAAGTTACTAACTATACAATTAATTGTAACAAAAAATCCATGTAATCGTATAGCAATATGATGAATAAACCTTGCAGGCTGAAGCAATAAGTTGCCTCTTTGGATTAGACGCTAGGCAAAACAGCTCATACGGATGTCCATACCTACAGTAAAATAACGAAGTTATGAAAATGAAGGAGTAGGAATGAAATGTTCAAAATTTATCAGACTATTACTATAAAAGAAATGAAAAAATACAGTACAATTTTTGAATTTCAGGCCAGAGTGTGTTCTGTTGTAAATATAATTCTGTTGGGGGTTCTACAAGTCGCATGTATAAAGTTAATAAATGGGATTATTAGATTAAAAGGAAGCTATACTAGGTACTGCACTTTAAATTTAGTAGTAATCTTAACCTTTAAGATCAACAGGTTTAAATGCGGTTGGTATCATGTTAAACCGGTCTGAAAAGTCTTCATTACTACTTGTAAGATTTTCTTGATCTGTAATCAACAATCTTTACATTTGAATCATTGCATACAAGACCAGGTATAACCACAAAATTGGCATACCGTCATACATTGCCTTGTTTGATAGGCCTAAAGATGGAACACTTGCCCCTAAAGCAGCTGTACTAGTCTTAAAATTAGATCGAATAGTTGTATCATTTTAATGTGAACCTGCAACCTAGATACATGCACAGTAAAGCTGATACTTACTACAACAGATGAAATTTTAAGAGATTCTAGTTGTACTCGGCTAATCTCCGACAAGGTATTGGAAAACAATTTTGGCGAATTGAATACACGAATAACCTAAGTGCAAATTAAAGTTTAATGAAGTGAATATTGTTAAGATAATATAAATAGTAATCGATCCAATTACTTTCTCCTCTCCGCCTGAGACAATTTGGTTACATTCAGTTAGCGATACGCATTGCATATCATATCCATGAATCTGTGGTCGCGCAATTTCGTGCCAGGACGACTGAAGATCAAGGAAATTGCTAAAATTAGTAATCGTAGATATACATATTTTGCAACTGAAGGCATGATGCATACGAAATGATATTTACTTCTTTCTGTTGTTGAATCCATGGTGCATGAACTCTAGTGGTTTGATCATAGCTAACAGTTACTAGGAAAGAGCCTTGTGATGCTTCCCAATCAAAATCCTGCCAATTAAATTAGTGCACTTTATGTTACGCCTTGAGTTGAATTCATATAACAGTAAAAAGCCAAACATGCTTTACTTACTGAAATGATAATAATAAGTACTGAACTAATACCTGGACTGGAGCAAAATGGCCAGTAACGGTCACTTGAGGCTTCCATTGTTCATCCTGTAATTGTAAAATTTTAGCGAGGGTTCTCAACGATAAAGTTATCATAGATAATCTTTACCAATAGCTGAAAATTTATAAATAATTTATACCTCGACTGAAGTATTTTTCCACACATGTAATCCTCCATCATAACCTTGGGCTAAAATTTCTTTCCCGTCAGGACTAAATATGCCACCGTAAAATCCTAAATTGTTACCGCCCATTGTACCAACTCTTACCTTGTTTATGTTATAAAAATGAGAATTAATCTATTGCAGCATGTGATAGTGTGCAAATAGAATAGGTCACAGTAAAGAGAAGATGTTTAACACGTACTTTATCCAACCACATCTCAGAATTTTTATCATATTCCCAAATAATCATTGTTTTATCCATTGATGCAGAAAGAAGGCGTAAGCGACGATGGGCTTTTAATTTGTATGAATGAAAAAACGGTAAAAAAATTGAAGCATTAGCCTGGTGTAATACTTAGTTATTAGAGCATGTTCAATTTAGAATCACCATCTTCTATAACAGGATACCAATTCACACTGTAGACCATGTCTTCATGGCTACTTAGGACAGAATCCAATGTTACTACGTAGTTTTCTTCAGAATCGCCTGAAAAATAGTTGTTAAAATTCAAGATATGAAATTTAAATTGTTCTATCGGATACAATAGTAGATTTAAATGCAAAATTGACGTCACAGATCTTACCGTATTTCACATGAAAGATATTTTCCTTTAGTTTGATCTCATCGTCTGATTTGTGTGCATTATCACCGGGATCATTTGTAGATACGATTTTCCATATTCTTATATAGGCATCTTCAGCACAACTTGCTAATAATATGTTCGTATCATCTATTGACGAGGTAGTAACAATTATAGGTACTAAGAAATTAATCAATATAAGTATTAAGAACTGCCACTACTGACCTCCGTGGCCAAAGCTTAAATCGCGTATCCAATTTTCGTGACCACTTAAAGATAATACTTGTTGAAATTCCTGAATAGACCATGTAAATTAAATGTTATCATTAATAAATGGTATATTTTTCGATGTAATGATACAAAAGCATTGACTAATATTTTCAATTTACAAGTAGAATAAACACAGTAAGCCGACGTTGCATAAATTATAGAATCTACTTATTTGTTGTCATAAATAATGGTTATAAGTTTACATATGTAGCTTAAAAGATACATCATACCAGTTTGTTATCGTTGTAGTTGCCGATATATAGGTTAACTTTACAGTTTTCGCGTGTTGTTGCCATTAAGTAGTTAGCTGAAGAGTAGCACATAGAATAATCAGTAATAACTACTACGAGATTTTAACATAAGGTAATATATAATTTATTGCAGTCTGAATCGGTTGATACCATTTTGATTATTCTTATTAATTGACGATTGTAGCGTTGTTAAAGCTACTGCTAGTATAATTCCATGGCCACAAGAAATAGTTTGAATACGTTCGAAATTCTCATCTATTGATAATAATTATATTCCGAATCATGAGATTTAAGAGTTTCAGAAAAATGGATAGTAATGTTGCATCGAAGATATTGCTAATAAAGTTTAGAATCACCTGTATTATTTCTGCACCAAATGTTTAAGGTAGAATCTGTCGCAGCTGTTGCTAGTAGCAGTTTATTTGCATTATGCAACGTTGCGATACAAGTTATGGCTCCCGTATGACCTGATAGTGTCGACTTTACTTTCCACTGCAAGCAAATTTGAGTTTATTAAAGTCAAGCATTAATGAGATGTAATACATAACTGCATTCATGCCGAATAAGGATACTCATATAGTACTGTAGTCTCAATACTTATATGGTAGTTGTGTAGTGTACGAGTATATTGTAGACAGTCAATGGTCGCTCTTTGATTTACTGTAATACAGTCAAAACGATAGCGAAGTTATTTAAAGTGCAAGTAAAGCAAACTTACTGTTTCTGCTTACTGATATCTATGTTCTGCTATCTACAGAATTGTAAATAAGTTTTGGTACAGCATTTGAAGCATGTTACATCTTGGTCTACTAGCGTCTATCGCAAGATGGCTAAAAGACTGTTGCATCATCCATGATAGTACGAAAAGTAAGTTCAGTATAATCCATTACAAGCTGCAATTACTTGTATAGAGATTTGTTTACCTGATTGTTTTGCAGATGCCAATTCAAGATGTTATGATCCGCTGCGCCAGATAACAATTCTGTAGAATAGAGAGATATATCGCGTAGCTACACATTACTCCATGCGATCAAATGCTTGCATTTACTATCCTCGTATGGTAGGCAAAGGAAAATGTATTGATAGAAATAGTAGCTTGACTATAACGTAGTATAGTCATTCTGGCCATTCTCTAATCCATGTGTATTGTGATGTATTCAATGTATATGTATGATTTTCTACTAAGAGAATGTTTCAATCTACAGTACTGTATGATAATAATCGTACTTACTTTTTATAATGGATACAAATGAGTTATACGATCTGAGATACCTACTCTATTGTAGTCTGGACATTTATACGCGTAGTATACTGCATGATGGAGCTAGAAATTTGGGTATTTTCTATGCTTGTTATTATCATCAATAACAAAACTATCCAGTTAGTCATACCGTATTGAGTAAGCCATTTGACACAGTTTACACGAGCTGAATGGCCATTTAAGCTCGCTTCAGCGAAACCAGCATGCATTTCATTCTATAATAATAAAGCACAAATTAAAAGGTTTCATTGGTCGATCCATGTGTAAGTGCCTATCTGGCTAGGATGATGACTGACACCGAGAGCAATATTGATTATCTTCAAGTTTATCTTAGCATGAAAACAAAGTTAAAAAGGATGTGGAAAATCGAATTTTATCCAATAGAAAGTGAATTTGCAAAATGGTATGAGTCCATTTTATCTAGCAGCAATTTTTGAACAACTAACTTGTTGTCGATATAATACGATCGAGTTACATCCTCCGTATGCGATGAGACCATTGGTTGACCAACTTATGCAATTAGGACTGCGATTCACTCCTATACTAAGATAGGACATGGATATATTGCCGTTGTCGTCGGCATCATTTGGATTAGTTTGCTTCGACATGGCTGGCAGGGATCGAGTGGCACCTTGGGCAGCTCGCATTAGCTCATTAAGCCAAATGCCATCGCGCATGCGTGATCGGCCATAGTCCCCTTCCAAGATCTTGGGTCACGGGGACAGTTTAGCCATTAACTCGTCTCTCTGCTAGTATAGTGCTGGAGTGGATGGTTTAGCTCATACAAAAGCTTACGTAAAATCCTCTACTGGACGGTATAGTGGTGTACTCAATTTGTCTGCATTATGGCCGCAGTAGATTGGGCACTTGGTGGAGAAGCAAATTTTCCCTTAGCTCCCATCTCGCCATTTTCCACTCTTATTTTCCAGGATAATACACCATGATAAAGAGAAGGAATAGTAGGAGATTGGGGGAAAATGAGGTCAAGGTGTTGTTGAGTAGTTTCTGATCAGAGACTAGAGACTTTACAAAGTTGGAAGAAGAGAAAATTCTCTTCTTCCAGTACTGTATCGTATTTCCCATCTAGCTCCCATCTCGCCATCTTCTACTCTTATTTTCCAGGATCATACACCATGATATAGAGAAGGAATAGTAGGAGATTGGGGGAAAATGAGGTCAAGTTGTTGTTGAGTAGTTTCTGATCAGAGACTAGAGACTTTACAAAGTTGGAAGAAGAGAAAATTCTCTTCTTCCAGTACTGTATCGTATTTCCCATCTAGCTCCCATCTCGCCATCTTCTACTCTTATTTTCCAGGATCATACACCATGATATAGAGAAGGAATAGTAGGAGATTGGGGTAAAATGAGGTCAAGTTGTTGTTGAGTAGTTTCTGATCAGAGACTAGAGACTTTACAAAGTTGGAAGAAGAGAAAATTCTCTTCCTCCAGTACTGTATCGTATTTGCAAAGAGAATCATGGAACACTATTGTACGACGGTTAACTCAATCATCCGCTCATGGCACCCTTTTTTGCCTTTTTAGATTTAATTTCATTTGGATTTTAGACAAAGTGAATATAGGATCCATCTCACAGTTTCCCTTGCCATATATTACAGTACAGTAGAGCCGATCAACCAACCAACTTGAATATCATTTTCGCATACTTTGTCCAAACTGCTGGAGCGGATTTCAACAAAGTGTAGCAAAGATATTGACTGCAAGTCGAGTTGATTTTGAGGACAGTATTTGCTCCGGTGTCCCACAAATTCCTCCAATGGATCACTAATCACTCTACCATGGACTACAGTACGTAATGTACCTTTAAATTAACTTCGGCTGCTTGTGAAAATTGAATTAAATAATTCTATATATCTACAATATTCTGTATGCCAATGGTATTATATGTCCACTGCATGCACGATCAATTGGTCAAAGGGTGGATTGCGGAATCAGGGTCGACTCCAGGGCCTACCCAACTTAATATTTTTTCTTTTACTGTTTCAATCCAAGGTATTATACTACCATGGATTGTTGCATGCCTGTCCTCTCGGTTATTTCAATCATTGACTAGCTGATTTCAATTTGAATTGCATGGTTGCTAAATCAAATTATCCAATTGTATCATCCTACCCAACTAAAATTTTTCTTGTTCTGTTTCAATCCGAGGTGTTATACTACCATGGATTGTTGCATGGCTGTCCTCTCGGTTATTTCAATCATTGACAAGCTCATTTCAATTTTAATTTCAATTGCATGGTTGCTGAATCAAATTATCCAATTGTATCAGCCGATCCAACTAAATTATTTTGTTCTACTGTTTCAATCCGAGGGTTTATACTGTACTACCATGGATTGTTGCATGGCTGCCCTCTACGTTATTTCAATCATTGACTAGCTGATTTCAATTTGAATTGCATGGTTGCTGAAATCAAATTATCCAATTGGATCATCCCCTACCCAACTAAAATTTTTGTTCTTCTGTTTCAATCCAAGGTGTTATACAGTTATACTACCATGGATTGTTGCATGGCTGTCCTCTACTGTACGTTATTTGAATCATTGACAAGCTGATTTCAATTTGAATTTCCATTGCATGGTTACTGAAATTAAATTATCCAATTCTATCATCTCATTCAAGCTGAAAGAATGTGGAAGATGTGATGACGGAATTAACTGATCCAGTAGTACTGTAGTGTGAAATCCAGCCTAGGTTGTAGGTGTGAAGCCTGTGCAAAGTTGAATTAACTTTATGGAAGGACTATTCCTGATATTCTTCACCTTCCTTTTCTTAATTCAACACCAAATCAAAAGTGTGAAGGCGATCGTCAACTTCACAGTCCTTGTTACATGCCATCCCTAGGCTGTCATGATGGCAGGCAGAACATATTCATCATATTGGAAGAAGCTTTGGCAGACAGTCGAGCAATATCCCTTGGAAGTCTGCCGAACAAGATATCCAATGGAATAGTAAAAATGGTTGGAATGCGGCACTTGTTGGTCGCCAGGAACTACTACAATAAAACTCTCTCTTCAGTAGTTTCCAACATAGCAGCAATCCATCTTTGTCAACGCATCCATCATGTAGTCTAACAGTATTCTGGAAAAGAAGAAGCCTGTAGTCGATATTGGAATGGACTTCCAGCAGCCTATATCGACACCAAAAGTAAACAGCATAACTCAATTAGAAATGCCCTTCTATCTAAAATGATCCACTATTGTACTACTCCTAGTAAGTTTAACTGCAACAGATGATGAGACTATTGTCCCTATCCAGGAGCGGATAGAATACATATTATCCCATTTGTTCTCCTTGTTTACTGTTGACAAGGATTGCATTCATTAGTGGAATTATTTATTTACTTTTAATCGCTACAGTATTGTTCAAGTAGGCATTTTTCATCTTGTAGTTACATCATCATCTGTGTTTTGAAAGTGTTAATGACAAATAAACGTCAAGGCAGAAGTGGCCATGACTCAGTGGTTGCTGATGATTTGGATTGTCACTTCGTCTGGTAGAGTAAGTTATAGCTTGAAAAATCAACTCGTTATCCTAAAATTACTACATGAGTAGCCTACCGTTGCTGATTTGTCATCGCTACCATTCTTAGCATTGCATAGTGAGGTTTGAATTTAACTTGATCTCCATATATGTCTGATATAGCCATCGGTTGTTATCCAAATTGACAACTTTGGAAATTCTTCTGGTTGATTTTTCCTACAATTCAATCGACTGTACATGTTATCCTACTGTATATACAACCAATTTATGACTAGTAAGAAACTTATTTCATGCTCTTGCAGGCAAAGTAGCTTGTCAATCGGGTTGAAACTATCTTCGTCGTCGAGTTTCAGATCTTACAAGTGTTTTCGGCCATTTTCTGACGTTTGCAAATTGTAAGTATTTAAGTACATCTACAAAATGCTCATGATACAATCATTCTACTCGTCTAATCATCCATTTAAGAATAATGCAATGTACTTATGTTCTCGCCCATGATACAAATAGACTAGGGGACAGAATTCAAGTCATCTAGTCGAGGACAACGAGATGAACTCGTTGAGCGCAATTTTAATACTGTAAATTGAATTCATTTTTCCATCCATTACTGTAAAATTACTTTGCCAATCGCATACGTGGATGATATAATTCTAAGCGTATATTTTAACATGCATTGATTTGGGAGGTAATATAGCAAGCCTATCAATATAAATGAATTGAAAGATAGGAAGCAACTTGCTCCATCGATTTTAGTTGATCTGGCCATTTTTCTTGCATTTCTGACTAAAAATAAAATAGCATAGCAGACAGTAGTGATGATGTTGTGTTGAACATTTGCCTGTAGTGTACTGTCGATAGTCGTCGTTAACCATAAAGGTAACAAAGTGTCCAGGCTGGCGTCTTTTTTTTACCGTCGAATGCACTTGATCCAAAGTTTGTTTAGTGGCCATATTGAACGGAACCTAAACCTAAAACGTCTTGAGTGGCCATATTGAACAACATGACTGTAAGCAAGATAATCCATGGTGAAATGCAATGTACAACTACTGTACTCTCGCTGTCCTTCAAGTTACCCTTCTAATATGCAAAACTATCGGCCTTTCAACGACTATTTTGAGCCAATAAAGACTGATCAAAGCCTTTCTAGTAGGGCACTCCGACTAGGGGGTATACTGTAGAAGTCAAGGAAAATTTCTGCTAAACCTAAAACGTCTTGAGTGGCTGTCCTTCAAGTTACCCTTCTAGTATGCAAAACTATCGCCCTTTCATCGACTATTTTGAGCCAATAAAGACTGATCAAAGTCTTTCCTAGTAGGGCACTCCGACTAGGGGGTATACTGTAGAAGTCAAGGAAAATTTTTGCTAAACGTAAAACGTCTTGAGTGGCCATATTAAGCAAGATAATCCATGGTGAAATGCAATGTACAACTACTGTACTCTCGCTGTCCTTCAAGTTACCCTTCTAGTATGCAAAACTATCGCCCTTTCATCGACTATTTTGAGCCAATAAAGACCGATCAAAGCCTTTCTAGTAGGGCACTCCGACTAGAGGGTATACTGTAGAAGTCAAGGAAAATTTTTGCTAAACCTAAAACGTCTTGAGTGGCCATATTAAGCAAGATAATCCATGGTGAAATGCAATGTACAACTACTGTACTCTCGCTGTCCTTCAAGTTACTCTTCTAGTATGCAAAACTATCGGCCTTTCATCGACTATTTTGAGCCAATAAAGACCGATCAAAGCCTTTCTAGTACAACATTCCAACTGGGTATACTGTAGAAGTCAAGGAAAACTTTTGCTTCACATTTTACTAGCCCCCATTTGAACGACCTAAGCAAGAAAATCCACACTTCAATGTACCATTAATAAACTGCCCCATCACTGTCCTTCAAGTCGCCCTTCCACAGTGCAAAAATATCACCTTTTCACCGACTCTTTCCCACAAATGGAGACCAATCCAAAGCTTTCTTCACTTTTTGATAGGCCAAACAGACCTGGCGTAGAGGTAGAAGAAGAAAAAGTTTTTTCTTCATCTTACTTCGATGTGGCTGAGCTTTATCCTACCACCCTTGACATCGCCATACTGTATACTGTACGGTATGGACGTTCAGCGCTACAGTACTGTGCAAACTACCTGGCAGAAGCCATTTAATGAACAATATCCGTCGGGCCACCCAGGTAGTCTACCAACGATGGCATAGAGAACACTGTCACTCAGAGGACGTTACCAGTAGCTAACCTCTATTGAAGTGGCAAAGGTCAATTAGCCAATTCATTCATTTCTGTCTTCTCCATTTTGATTTTTAAACTACTTGGAATACAGTTATAGAATCGATTTTCTATCCGTCCATATCTTTTCCCTGTCTTAAGTCAATCGATCTATCTATTATTGATTAACATTTCTCTTTTCTGACCATATAATCAGTATTCATTAGCGTTGAACGAAAGCACTGTATCGTCTGCCATCTTGGGGAGAAGAGAGCCTTGGCAAAAGAATTTGGGGACGTTTCAACTTGATCTTCAAGTAGAATAATGTCGCAGGAAGAAGCAACTCGTTTACGCTTTCGAGGACATTCAACAGACGAATTAACTCAAGGTAATGGCTAGATGATCAATAATCGTTCTTTGGAAACATAATCAATGACAAATTGTAAGAGAAAAAACACATTGATGTACAGTTGTTATACAATAACAGTCCACGTTTACCTACATTAGAAAGTATTGAGTAGTAGTGTCATACGAAGGAATTTGTCAAAGAGAGAAAGTCAATCCTAGATCATGCTGTAAAACTCTGTACTGTATCTTATGTGATGCCAATGGAGACATAATATTGTTTCAAAAACGCCAAATGGACTTACATTACTTTCAAGACTAAATAGGGAGGGCATAATTATCTTTGCAAAGGACTCCTGCATATTGGCAAGTAGATCAACTACTCTAGCTGTAGGTAGTTGAAACATATTACAGAGAGGACGAAAGCAATCATTCCATCTTCTTGGCCATCGTAACTTTTTCAAGGCTTCGGTTGATTGTATATTCAACCCATTAAAACACGATAGTTCAAGCCAAATTAAATGGTATGAGAATAGCTATCGTCCTATACAAATCATTTCAAATATATCTTTTGTAATAGATGTAGCCGTCGATTCTGCCAGCAGCCAAGAGATTGAAGACTACGATGATGGTGATCAAAAAACGATCGATGCCATTGAGGTATTCTAATGATTATTGTATAGCATGCATGTTAATCTTTGTAACAGCTAAACTTAAAATATCATAGCGCTAATCAGAACGTGCAGATTTTGAACACTAGTGGAGTAATGAAGCATACGCTTATAGGTTGGAAACACTCAAAACGGATACTCTACTACCTTGACTTACAATTTAATATCGTTTTTACTAGAGCTATTTCACATTACCAAACACGCTTATCGATATACTCGTCCATTTTCTTTCTAATAGAACCATCAGCTTAATAGCAATCAAATATGAGCGTTGTATACCGCGTATTGGTATTGATTTTCAATTTGAAATGATACGAAGAGAAGTTGAAAATTGATCTATACTCTATGTAATAGGATAGTCGGCATCATACCATAAAGATGTATTAATTACCGCAATTAATATTTAATCCTTTTGTATATCCACTATAATTAGGCTATTTTTTTTAAATTATTAGTCGTTAATCTACCCCTTCGTTCATAACTTTGCTTCACATCTATTTTAAGTGTTTCACTAGCAAGTATTAGCGTAGATTGAGCTGTTTTCGTTTACTTACCCACTCAACATGATCTATGCAATCAATAGTATCGGTATGCAAGTAAAAGCTACAAGTTATAATATGTTAGGATACATCTATTCACAGTGTCCATAATAATTGTACAATGGGTGGATGGCGATGGCATGGCAATGTGTGCTTACAGTTCTACCACATATATATTCATATGCGTTATCAAGAGTAGTTACAAGTTATCCTATATCAATATTCCTTGGAGCCCTAAAAGGTCTCTAAAAATCCCCGTCAGACTGTAATATTTATTCACTACGTTGTTAGAAATAAACGCAATTTTCAACCTTATAGCTTAGGTCAATTTAACCTGTGTGCACTATCGGTGAGATACCTCTTCAAATGTACAGTATAAGCAAGCATTCACTTTCCACTATCATTTTGGGTAACAATGTAAACCATTTCTATTGGATCAATATTTTACAATAAATTAGGTCCATTAAATAATATAGAAGAGTATATATATAATAACTTCAAGTTTAAGAAAGAGATACTTTTAAATTACTACCAAATAGTAAAAGTCAATAGCTGAAACCGTCACCTTTTTATTTAATTAGAAGTATTTTGTAATTTTTTGGTACCTTAACGCTTGTTACTTGTCCAGAAGAACCAATCGTGATATTGTTATGATTCGATGTAAACTGTTATCACGCTTTGCTGCTATATACCTACGATATAACTAACATGACTATATATTATGGAATTCATAATTTGCTTTGTTAGCTTTTAAATATCTTACTAAAAAATAAAATTGAATGTGTGACATTATATAGAAATTTCGAATAACATTTACCAAAAGGATTAATAACGAAATTGACGTCATCACCAACGATTTAGTGAGAGAGATAGAAGAAAAGAAAGATGGTGTAGACTCGACTGGAATCAACACAAGGTATTAACAACAGAATAGCCATTGCAATCTCCTCAATAGGGGTACTAAACACACAATCTACATTGAATTTTTTATCGTCAGTCGAATTGATATACATGTTACTTATATACTCAACAATTTTTATATATATACAGTACACAAGTTTTATATTAATTATACCTAATGTTATAAAAAACTTTAACTTATAGTCACTTAAGGTATTGATGTGCTATCTTTATATTGATTTCATTTAATTGTGATTTCAAAATGAGTTAAAACTCGGTAACCTTTTATACAGGCAATATGAGAAGGTGTTCATACCTCGTCAATCCGTATTAACGTAAGGATTTATTATTAAGACATCACAAATAAAACCCAACTTGTTCAGCAGCCCTAAATATCAGTTATAATGTCTTATTGATATCTTTGTGTATAAATAATTGAAACCATATTGCTATTTTACAGTACATTCATAGACTACTTTATGGCATTATACAAGAATCAGACGTGTAAACTTAATATGTTTTATTACTTCTTACAGAAAACTATTGGAAGTATCCCATTTCCAAACTATCTATAACATTTTTGTAGCCTTACTTATTGTAATTATATTAAACACCGTTTGCTTGGACTTGCTGGAAAAAGGAAGGTTTGCTATTTCTCATACATTCATTCCGTATTGTAATAGTCGTTCATTACTAAATTATTCAACATTAGATTTGCTATACATGGCGTAGTTTATTATGCAATATGCAGTAAGCACTCTATACTATAAGACACTAAACGGAAACTCTCTTTAATTAATTAATATTGAAAACTTTCATCGTACTGTCTCAATTTATCTAAGATTGATACTTTAATGGAAGCTTTGACTCTTAAAGGCTGGTAGTTTTTCTTCTAAATTTCACAAGTAGTGACCTTTTTTCACTGTCAATACATGCTCTAATTCTATTTTAGATACTTTAAAGCCTGGATAGTTCACTTAATAATGATTTATCTATTCTTGGAGTAGAATAGATAACTATTTACGATATGCTTGCTTGCAATTACAGGATCGATATTGAATTTGAAATTTTAACTGGATCGTTCAATAAGTTGTCTACCACAATTAGCATCTGGCTGGCCATGCTATCAACTACGTTATTGGTTTATCCTGTTTTTCATCACTGGGCGAAGCATACAAATAGTTTCTCGTTTGATATTGTTTGGCTTCTATTATATGTCGCATATCTGATTGCCTTCTTAGTTATACCTGCAATGTACGTTACAAAGCATAAATTGGCATTAGCTTCGTCCATGATTGTCGTTACTGAACAGGTATTTACTCAAATTGTATGACTAGTCAATTTATTGAATAGATATACCACTTAATACAAATATCATCGAATTCTATTGATGACTTGCACCTACGTATGTAGAAAAGGGTTTCAATGTATGGTTTTAGAAATCATACGAATACATATTAAAAAAATACCTAAAAAATGCACACTATTTTGATAAGCTATTATTAGCGACACATGTTTGATTACATTAATGGGTGTTGTTTAGAATACGAACACCTGAATTCCTAGTCTCACATCTAATTTACTAGTACATTGGAGGATTTAATACATTAGATCCAATAATGTATACGTCAATGATTTACAAGGCCTTGACTATAAAATAGCAATATTTATTGTAAACTGACATGATAATTTCCTTTATTATAGTTTTATTAAAATTATTTATTTTACAAGATAGCCTTTATCAATATCATTTAAAATACTGTCGTATTCATACCCTGATAGTGTAAAATTGGTTAAAATTTTTGTTTTTGTTTACCATTTTCGATACAGACTAGGTTAATGATGAAGGTTCATTCATTTGTCCGTGAAAATGCTCGAAGTATCCTTAATTGTAGAAAGTCTTCAACGATTAGGGACAAAAGTGTTTGTTCAGAAGCTAAGAAAGTAGATTTAAAGCACGTGGAGACCACCTCGCAACCTTTTCCAGGATTTTCATCATATTTATATTTTTTGTTTTGCCCTAGCTTGATATATCGAAATGAATACCCTCGGTATGCATCTTTGCAACTTGGTTAATTGATATCACTTCGAACATATGTAAAATCGACCTAAATGTGCAAACTATAATAATACTATATAGTTAATTAATTACGTTAGATTTGACTAATTTAAAACACTCAATACTTCAGGACCGCAAATATTTGCTGGAGTTATGTTGTGACTAATTTTCTGCAGGTATTATTTTAGCTATTGCGTTGATTGAAGTAATTATACACATGTAAATGGATATTTAATTTAATATATCAAGGTACAAACGATGTAATATTTTTTATCTTTTGATTAAAGGTTATTGGATGTACGATGTATATTTATTACCTATACGTAAGATTTTGCTTGCCCGTATTTCGAACGGCTGGTAGAGAATTAGCTAACGTGAAGTAAGTTCAAAAAACTTAAACTATTTGACTTTTTCAATGAGTAGTTTTCTGACAATTAAAATAAATGACAATTACTTCGTAGGACATACCTTAAAACTATCTTCAGTTGCGTATTGCCAGCGACGCTAATGTTCCTGCTCGCATTTTTTGCCATTTTACATTCTTGGTTAAACGCATTTGCAGAGATGCTACGATTTGCCGACAGGATGTTTTATGAGGTCCTTTTCTTATTATTCTTATCATTACACTATGATTTGCATATGACGATAAAAGCGTTAATGCTAAATTATTACGATTCTTGTACCAATAGGACTGGTGGAATTGTAAGTCCTTCGGTAATTATTATCGAACATGGAATGTTGTTGTCCATGATTGGTTATATGCGTATATCTATAAAGATGTGGTGTTGGTAATTGCTCAATTTTGATGAATTATATTGCTACTTTTTGTTTACTGTATTGACATACAACGATCTTTACGTCTGTAGTTGATGTACGGAGACAGAAGGAATCGAAGTACTTTGGCGATGTTGATGGTATTTTTCGTTTCCGCTCTCTTCCATGAATACATTATATCCGTTTGTTTAGGATTTTTTTATCCAATACTTTTTGTGATATTTGGCGGATTTGGAGGTAAATATCTATTAATTTTCTATTGTGGTGTTTAATGTAACGTCTTTATTTCATTATTATAATTATTCGTGATGATAAAGTTACAAATAAGATAATGCATTTGGCTTTCGAAATTAGTCCTTTTCATACCATTGACACAAAGGAAGAGTACTAGAGGCTGGAACATTTTTATTTGGTTAATGCTTTTTTTTGGCTGTGGACTGTTGCTATGCTTGTACTGTCTAGAATGGTATGCAAGATCTCTGTGCCCGCCTAATCCGGTTCGTCATTGATTCAATATTCGATGAAATTTGTTAAAATTTGATCTACTTCTACGAATATGCTTGCTACACTGTACATATTAAATACTACCTCTTCAGTAAATTTTTTTATTACAATATCAGCCAAAGAGTAACCTAAGCCATGCATTGCAGTTTTCTATTCCTACTTAGAAGAAATTTTTTTACAATAAGATTGCTACCATCGAATCTAACGGAAATCTTCTTTTCCAATTCTCAGAATTTTGTTATAGTTACTCAGGATTGCATGTGTTTCTAATTGAAAAGCTTTTACTTATTAGTTATGTTCTAATGGTTGCTAAATCATATCAAACGATACAATGCTTGAACGATAGCTATTTTTTGTAACAATAGTTATAAACGTATAAGAAATTTTCGTTTATATTTACAGAGTGCCTATTGGTCGTATCTACTTCTGCCACGGTCGTGGACTTGTACTGCTTGGCAGGAGTAAGATTTGCGTTTGAAAATGTATCTTTTATATGTAATAACCAATTATATGTATTTCGATTCGAATGCATAGTATATTTATAATTAATTGTAAGACTAAATTATAGGAAAATAAAGTGGATAGATATATGAATATCTCTCTTTTATAGTATTATATTATTACTATCATAGTATATTCATTACTGATCGTGTTGTTTAAATTTAGAAAATGAAACTAATTATTTGCCTTAAAAGCAATAGCTTTGATCAATTAAAAAGCTGAGTTTATAAAACAAGCTAAATATGGCATTGATTAAATTATATTGGATCAATTGTTTAAAAGATCAAAGTAGTATTGTATGCAACTTTTCATAGTAACTCCTTTGATGACAGTAATAAAATCTATGTCTCGTTGCGAATGACTAACTGTAAAGACAACTGCTGAGTATACAGTAGGTCAATAAAGTTGCCGAAGTTAAATTTGCGAGAAAAATCATTTAATTGAGTTTGAATATTTAGGAAACGAAATCGCGATTACTTCCTAGGATAGCCAAATTTTCAATTCACTAATCCTTTTGTTAACTTGTCTCTAGGAATTATTAGTTGAAGTAGTCTTAAATATTTAATGTGATATTCGGCTTACCGTCGTCTCCTGGACGTCAAATATCTCGAATCGTGGAAAATGGTGCGTGATTGAAATAATTTATTTTTATGACTTTACAAATACGTAAGAGTAGTCCGGAAAATTTTAAATAAATAATTTAAGATGTTTTAGTATGTACAGTATACGAATATATTGATTCTTGTCAGATCATTAGACGTAGTAACTATAATCATCAAGGTAATGGCTCAGTTAAATAGGACTTAAGTTACGTGTTTTGCTGAGTGAGTTAGGTATCATGGCGAAAAGCTAATAAAAAAAATTTTATCGATGCAATGATAGGAAATACGGTATTGATTTAAATTGCAACAGTAAAAAAGAAATTGATTGTAGTTGTTACACATAAAACGATTAAAATGATTATATCAATATAACGTATTGAATGAAGCTTAATTAAAAGACAGCATGGTCGAACTGATTCAAGGATCAGTCCTAGACACTTAATAAATTTAAGTGTACAATGCCATGAATAAGAGGGAATTTAGTGTGTAGGCAAATGTTGATTTCTGTGCAAGAATTCGATTAATAACGCTAGCGAAAACTATTTGAAAATGTACAGAGGACAAATTTTCATTTCTATAGATTAACTATTTCAAAGTTATCAAAACTTAAGCATACTATCATATAACCATATGGTTTTAAATTGATAAAAATACGATCATAATGAAACATCGTTTTCTAAAGATTTGATAAAAAGTAGAAGGAAGTTATTTAAATGAACGCGTTATGTAGTAGCTTTTATCGAATAGAATATTTTTAAGGTACGCAAAATCTTGAAATGTTTTAATTACACAAGCTTTTTCCTCCATTGACATAATTAGTACTGTCATACGGATATGATGTTAATAAGAACGATCTTATTATGGTCAATTAAATTTGTAAAACAGTTAAAACAAAAAAGGTTTTGATTAGAGTAAAATATACAGATAAATGAAGCACAGAAATTTTGATACTTCATTTGATGAATTAACAATAAGAGATGTAATTCACGAAGATATTTTTCCTAAATTTTTCGTAATACTGTTAGCAAACGTAAATATTCTTTAGAAAATAGATATTGTTTCATCACTTCTAGAAAAATAGTGAATGCAGCTACGAGTGACTGTCCCTATGACAATATACTGATCTTATTGTCATCATGAAATGCTTGATTTTAATTTAATGTTGATCACGCAATTTTCCCTACATACTGTACATTGTGCTATAAGGATTTAGGTTATATTTTTTTGATACAATTATTTGATAGTTACCCTTTTATTGAAATAATTAGGTAAGACGTTGTTTTATTTACTTTACTAATAAATTACCAATGCAACAAATAACAAATGTTATATTGGCATTGTAGCCATAAATGCGGTCAAGTTACTTTAGCTATCAAACATAAGATGCGATTACCAGGTAAAGTGATTTCAACCTTGAATGTATAGCTGCATGTTCTTTTACTCAACTGTATTCCTTATTAGACATATTGATAAATTAGTAACAGTCGTTAGTCATTAATTAGCAAAGGATAAATTTAAATAATTAGACTTTTATGATAAATAAAACAAACTATCGAAATTTGCTTTTTTCGCATACCTAATAATTAATTTATCATGATCAGTTATACTGTACGCATAGTGAGATTGAATAGAATACCATAACAGTATGAAATCGTGTTGAAGCATATTTTGTCATATCGACATTAAAACACTAATCGATCCTAAATTTAGATCCTAATAGTTAGAATGATGATTAAAAAAAGCAAAATCAGTTAAGACGCTGCTAAAGAATATTTCAATTTTATTTTGTTTCTTTTAGGTCTTCTAAGTTCTATTCACTTTGGAGATTGATTAAAATCTAATTGCGAATTGAAATTATGAATATTGATTGTTCAGATTTACTATCTACTATGCCAAAAGCAATAATGAACGATCAGTATTGGTGTGCTAAATATGTTTCAAATGTAAGAGAATATTTTTCATAATTTTACTGATATAATTACCAGATTGATGTATTTCGTTAATTACCATTGTAACATTTAAGTTAACATGAATTTTTTATTATTGCATTTTAGTAAAGATATCAAATAAAAATGAGTAATAATAAATTTTGAACGAGTACAGCATATTACTTAGCAAAATAAATCAACCCCAGTACTGCAATGAAAATTTATTATTATTAAAAAGTATATCAAAGGGTTAGTTAACTTATCAATAGTAACGTCGGTTAGAAAACACAATAGTTTGAATAAGTTAATTATAGCAAGATCTTTACAGACGGTAGGTGTTTACTAGTTGAATTTCAGCATTTTAGCAAGAAATTACTATTATTTTAGAACAATACCAAATCATACCTTCCAATATGTATCTGAGGCTAGTTTTTAGATAGATTTTTACTTATAATAAACAGAACCTAAAACCGTTACTATCGCCTTCATGGTTAATAAAAATAGTCTCACTACCATATAGGTAACCCAAGGTAGAAAAAGGTAATAAGATCTTCCAATAGAGCTTTATGTGATGTAGAGTATTTATGATATGATTAAAATTATGATGATTTAAAGGAATTGAGTTATTCTTTTTTTCTACCGGTAGAAGATAAACCGGTAGTGAAACCGGTGGGAGTGAAATAGCTAGACTAACTTCCATCGACTTTAATAGATTTCTTGAATTATCTACTTTTTAAATATTAAACGTTCAAAATTAGATTATAATTAAGTTATAATTGTTTTATGTTATCTCACTTTTGTAAGAATACCATTGTTTGTCATAATAAAAGATGTTTTTTATCATATTTTAATATAATGTGGAGCTTATTTCAATGCAAATCAAAAAAATAAGCTATTCATGTTGAAATAGTACCAGTTTAAAGACAATATTAATCAAAATAGAAAGAATAATCCTACTAAACGATATAAAACTATTATACTCGTAATTATGACAAGCTATATAAGCACAATGTCTAAGAATTATACATATGATTTATATCATATTCTGAAATGTATATATACGAATTGCACCTCGTGTAACCGTATGTCTACATACATACATACAGTAGCTCATTAAACCCAGACAAAATTTAACTCCTAGATAACAAAACATTTCGAATAGTAGAGGTAGCAGGATCGTGTATAGTAATTATTGATCAACACCGTTTAAAAGTTCAATAGATCACAAAATAAATTACTTAATACAATCAGTAGGGAAATATAATATAGACTGTATATCACTAGTAGTTGCTATATTCCATATTAATACGCACCGGTAGCGTTCAGAATTCGTTAAGCAAGCTACTTGTTAGGATATAGCAGCATTGCCACTGCCTTGATCGAAATTTAATGAGTCCTTACTTGTAAATTGCTACAGAACAATTACGGATGGTGTAACAGATTGGATAACTATTAATTGTTTTATCGCAAGTCTGTGTAGAAAATATCACAGCGAATAAATCCTAAAAAGTATCGTATATTCCTTAGCTTAAATAGGATTTAGCAATATGTACACTTTAGTGTTCCTGTTGTACTAGTGCACAGATACAAAGAATATAAATTTTACGCTATTATAATAAGCAAATTAGTAGTAGAACATACGAATAAAGCTGGATTGTATGCTAAAATAGCACATCTAAATTAGTCTATACTTATTCAATATTCTTTAATTACTATAGTAGTTTAACGATGTTAAAATTTGGTCTTACTGCGTGCATACAAGATCAATGATACCGTACTAAATTTTTAACAAATTGCTTTAAGAAAGAATTAGATTTGGCTAATTTGACTGTAATGACTAATATTTTAAGTGCAAGTAACATAGTATTAAAATATTATTGCTCATTATTAATAAATTGGTACAATTTTAGCGGTATGCCCTATCAGCAAGGTAAATGTAAATGTGTTGTAATGATGCTATTGGTAAATGTATTA